TATACGAAAATTGTACTTTGCATTTTCTCTCAGTCTCTTCACGGTGTAGTTTGTGTCCTTTACACCTGTGCTCGATGTACATGCGATCCACTCGTCTTCTGCTGCTTCTTTCATCTCAACGGCAAATCCACTGATGGCTGCTCCACCATCATAGATGGGCTTTGACCAGGTCAGAGACACCGTACTGCTTGAATAGTCTGTCACTTTGGGGTTGGTAGGGGGGCCAGGTGGGTAAGTAGCTTCACATACTTTTATATACTCACTTGGCTCACTGGGTGGACCAACACCAGCAGCATTCTCTGCCAATACTCTAAACTGATAGTAATGTCCCTCAGCAACTCCTGTGCATCGAAAGCGCAAGTCATTTAGTCTTCTCTTGTTGCATTTAGTCCACCTGACACCCTCTTTGTCACATTTCTCAAGGATGTAGCCATCAATTTCTGAGCCTCCGTCCGTCTCAGGTCTTTCCCATGATAGCACTATAGAGTCACCAGTCACAACGCTGGCTGTAGGGGTAGAAGGTGCACCAGGCGTAGTAAAAGGGTTTTGTGCAATGAAGGGGTCTGATTCCAGAAATTCGCCAACACCAAATTTGTTCACTGCAGCAATTCTGAATATGTACTCTTTACCAGGCACCAGTTTTGTCACTTTGTAACTGACAGCTTCAACGTGAGGCTCAACCCCTGTCCATGTAACACGGCTGGTCTCCCTTTTTTCAATGATGTAGTGGGAAACACTGGCACCACCATCATTTAAAGGGAGGTTCCAGTGAAGATTACACTTCTCTGCACTGACAACTTTCACCTTCAGAGCTCCATCTGGAGGACCAGGTCTATCCAGGACCTTTACAATAACGGGGATAGATGTAGTTCCACCCATGTTACTGAGGCTCAAGACAAAGTGTCCCCCATCCGCTCGTGTACAGTCCCTGACCGTCAGAGTTGTATGTGTGAGGGTGTTTTTAACCTCTGTTCTCTGTGTTGCTTTGTCAATTTCTTTTCCATTCTTCAACCACGTTACTGCAGGTAGGGGCTTCCCAAAGTAATCTGCATCAATGACGAATGTCTCACCAGCTTGAACAACAGTTGTACTCTTGAACTTTGGATCAATGAACGCTGTGGGTCCTTCAATAACATCCTGTGCGACGATGGTTACACTTTCTGATGGTGTGCTCCAAACACCAGCACCATTCTTAGCAGTTACTCTAAACTCATAACTTTGGCCTCCTGTCAGACCTGTGACTGTGAACTGATTCTCAATAACATTGGTGAAGTTTGCCTTCATCCATCTGCCATCTGGGAGCTCCCTCTTTTCAACAACGTAGCCTGTAATGGTGCTTCCTCCATCGTACTTGGGTTTTGCCCACTGAAGTGTGATGTTCTCTCTCGTAATGATAACAGCTTCAGGTTTACCAGGTGGATCACAGGGGTCTCTTGCCACATAGCATTCAGATATCTTGCTAGATGGGCTGAGTCCAGCAATATTCTCAGCAAAGACTCTGAATTCATACTTAATCCCTTCCTCCAGTCCACTTGTTTTGAAGTGAGCGTCAGGTATAACGAGTTTGTTCAGCTTGGTCCATAAAATGCTGTTCTTCTCTTTGCGTTCAAGGTGATAGCCGATGACGGGGCTGCCTCCATCTTCTGCTGGAGGCTCCCATTCAACCACCATGCTGTACTTTGCCACTGTGGACACAAAGGGGGTGCCAGGAGCAGTGGGCACATTAAAAGGATATTTTGCAATTACAATAGGAGAAGTGATTGCAGTACTCTTTCCATGCCTATTTTCTGCAAACACTCTGAATTGGTATTCATTTCCTGTCTTCAGTTTGGTGACTTTGATTGTAGTTCGTACTGTCGTTGCTGACACAATCTGCCATTCTGTGCTTAGAGTTTCCCGTTTCTCCACTATGTAGTTATCCAGCTGACAGCCTCCTGTGTATTCTGGTGGCTCCCAGGAAATGACAACGTAGTCAGAACTGATCTCATCAATCCTCATGGGCCCTGTGGGTTGGTCTGGCTTTTCAAGAACAACCACAGCGATTTCTCCTGTATGTTTTCCAGCACTGTTGCTTGCTGTGATAGAGTATTGACCAGAGTGCTCTCTGGCCGCATGTCTGATATGAAGAACTGTTAATGAAGATGTATTTGAAACCTCTAGCCTTGATGTCTCTTTGACTGCCTGACCATCTTTTTTCCATTCAATCTTTGGTGCTGGGTGCCCAACCACTGGGATCTCTACTTTCAGATCTTCACCATTCTTGACAGTAAATGTGCCAAAAGTTATCTGAAGTTTTGGCTTAATAGCGTTTTCCTTATCTGTGACAGGGCCAGGTTGGACGTCGGAGTTGGGCTCTCCATTCTCTGCAGAAATGTCAGGGTGACCTAGTGTGACGGGGGAAAAAAGCATCACATACATGGAACATTAGATAGGATCCCTGTGCAGAGTCAGACTAATTATTAAAAATCCATGTGGTACTGGATAAGCCAAATCAATCTATGTGGCTTTTTAAATGCATTTGAGTAAACATTAATCTGGTGAGTAAACCCATGTTAAAATATGGATAACTTATTTAATTTTCTATTCTAACTTTTCAGAAAATTGCTGGAGCTACTCCGCGGATAAAAGCCTCAAAAACATAACAACTGAATGTTTGAACTTAGATTATTTTATTACACATTAGTTATGAGTCATACTGTTTGTTCCCCACAGGCATGACATACCTTGGACAATGACTGTCAGGGGTGACTGGGAATCCTCTGCTGTGAGCTCTGCAACAGTATCCGTTGTCATATTTATATTTAGAGTGTGAGCTTTATCTTCTGCTTTCTTTCCCACCTACAAAATAGAGTGGAACAAAACTGTCAGTGAAAATGAAATGAAAGACCAGCTGAAACAATCAGGGCAACACATTTCTTCATTTCCTTTTTTTCTAAGACTTATGTTGTTTGGTTACAAACCATTTAGAAAGAAATGCTACACATATTTAATCACAATAGGATTTAAACAAAATTGTTTTAAACAAGCTAGAAGGTTATCATAGTGAATGCCATGTGTTGGTAACAGAAACTGTTGATGGTGTAAAAATAACTAGAGGCATGGCTTAGCCATCTGTTCCACCAGAACACATACAACTCTATTAGTTTTTAACTCTTAAAGCTCTCACAAGGTTTAAATCTTTATACTTTAGTAAGGAACACAAAAAATAAAAATCAACAAGTAATTGTTAGGTGCCGTCATCTCTCTCTGTACTATGTTTCAATAACTTTTAAGATATCATTGCTTATGCAACTTACTTCGTTGTTGCTGGCTTCCATCGTTTCTCTCACTTGTCCTTATTTATGAGAAATTAAATCCAGATAGTTCAGTTGTCGACCGTGATGGACCCTCAAACTCTGTGGCAGACATTAACAACTCTGCCAGTCACTGCCTGCTTTATCTCCAAAATGTGCATGCAGAGACTAAAATAACCATGATGCCTGATTGGCCAGCTGCTCATTCTTTCAAAGTTCCTTGAGCCTGAATGGATCAGCTGGGAAAAACTGGAAATGTGCTCAACAGTAAACTATTGTCCACATACCATTTGGCTTTACAGTTTAGATGTCCTCTAAAATAACTTTGTGTGTGTGTGTGTGTTGGTTGGGTTGTATGTGTGCATTTATTAGTCGCACAGGAGCCTTTCTAAACAAATGTTCAGCTACTACAACACTATGGGTAGGTAGAGGCAGTGGTTGAATGTAACCGAGTACATTTACTCAAGCGCTGACAGGACCGATTATGACAAACAAATACTTTTACTTGTGATATGTTGTGTATATTTTGCTGGTAATTGTTTTGTACTTTTATTTAAGTGAATGCAAGACTTCTATTTTAATTGAGTGTTTCTATAGTTTGGTATCAATACTTAAATGATTGGAATTGGGGGCGTCGTTAGGCCTATTTTAGGGGGGCTGAAGCCCCCCCTAAAATGTTCTTCAGCCCCCCCAAATAATTTGGCATTATTGGCTTTAAAAAAAAAAAAAAAGTTTGTTTTTTTTGGTGATGTCATTAAATTAAACTATTGTTTCTCACATGGACAAGTTATTTATAACTCTAACATGCTACATATGTGCGTGCGTTCTGGTTTGTATGTTTTCTCCCCCTTCAAATTACAATCCAACAGCCTATCATCATACTTAACGATATAAAGTTGACACTGTCAGGTCCATTCTCCATCCATTGTGTGCAGTCCCTTTCAGAATTAGGATTTGGGAGTGACGCGGATATGAAACCTGGTTTATCCGTCTTTCCTTTACAAGTAGGAAAATTATTTCTCTCTCTTTATTTGAGAAAAGTTCATATTTGTGTTGTCAAATTTCACTATGACCCTGAAATTCTGTCTCTTGTGTTATCATATACTGAATGCAAGTAAAACTATAGAGCAAAATCACACTCTTTCTGATTGAACCAATCTATGAACTGTCTGAAACAATGGATATCCGCGGCCCCAAATGGGCCCCCAAAAAAATTGCTGCAAACATCCCACTCCCCTTGGGGCTAAGCCCCCCCTTTCTTTGTATCCCAGAAACGCACCTGATTGGAATACATCTTCTAGCACTGAGTGAAGGTTACAAAACACTTAACATTAACTTGTATTAGTAAATGCATGAGATCTGCAGTGATCTTTCTTCGCAATATGTATAAAAGGTAAAATTACCTCCTTGTCAAGATGTTAAAACCAAACTGTCTCCTGTTTTCAATTGTTTATGTATGTTTATAACGGTTTGGAAGGAATACCTGCAATCTCTTCTGCCCCTAGCATTACCAAATGACATTTTAAATTATTAAAATGTAAACAAATATTAAATAATAAGCATGTAAATACACTATTGTTAATATAAAGTATTTTTCCTTTAATGTGGTAACTCTGAGATGATGCAAATACAAATTTGTTAGAAACATTTATTCTGAAAAAAATGAAACGGAAACACACCATTAAACACCAACGAAGAAGAACTCGTTTAACGATGGAAGCTAGCCCGGAGCTACCCGGTGCAAGGAAAACGCTGGATGAAAAACGAAACATCCAAATGCAAGTAGTGCCTTCTGAAGCGCGTTTAATCCGCCTTTTGTCTCCAGACGCTGAATTTAAGTGATGCAATGTCAAAACAAAAAGGTGAGTAGAGTTGGTCCGCTACAATTCAGAGGGAAATGCTATACTTTTTGCTACACTGCAATAGTTACAGTTACTTTGCAGTCTATAATTTTCTGTACATCACATATGATGAAAATATGATAACAATGCATGTTTTATGAATTCACCATGTGTTTTGTGCGTAAAATATATTCATATATTTGTTATAATCCAATAAAAGTAAAACACTCGCTGGGGGGTTAGGTAAAGTTAGAAAGATATTGACAGATTCGGACTTCCCGGTTCAATGAATCGAAACGTTGCTAAAATACAAACGATACCTCCCTGTAACCGTAGTGAGGTAGACAACAAGCTACAACCTTAATTTAATTAAAACGGGCCGTCTTACGGACTCCTCCGAGCGTGACAATCTGCATTGGTCTCAATGAGCGGCCGGCTGCGAGACGAGTGCGCAGGGACCGTCTACAAAGTGCAATGCGGAAAATACCTACTACAACAATATTCAATAGCTTCACTGTCATGCAATGTAGTGTAACCAAAATCACTTCACACATCAATGGGCTCCTCCTTGTTGTACTACAACTGCTATTTTGAAAAAATATGATTTAGATTAATTTTAGTGAATATTTATTAAAAATAACTGGTGCATTTACAGAAATGTTTTATTAGTGTGCACTGTCCCGTATCAAATAAACTAATAAAATAAATAAATAAACTAGTGCAATTGTGAACCTATGTTTTGTATTGTGTATTTGTCTTGAATAAAAATATAGTACCACATACATCAAGATAAGAGCCATCATAAGTAGTTCACTCATTTCATCTTCAACAAAGGATATACACATATATTGTCATGCTGTAACAACATTGTGAAAAAGGAAAAATAAATGTGGCAAACGCATTAGGTATCGAAAGATGCCTTTCCCCATCGTGGTTTGCATTGGAGACTGACAAACTGAAAGATCACTGCAGGTAGAACTTAATTGAAAGGTGCTCCTGATTGGTTAGTGACCTAGTCACCCTAGGCATCTATCATTTGATTGGTTGAGGGGCAGATGCCATGAGGCAGCCATGAGCTGATTTATAAATAACCATCTACAAGTCTGGTGAAACTAAAATAACAGTTGTAGTACTACAGGAAGGAGCTCATTGATATATGAAGTGATTTTGGTCATGCTACACTTATCAACAGTAAAGCTATTGATTATTATTTTTAATAAATATTCACTAAAATTAATCTAAATCATATTTTTTCAAAATAGCAGTTGTAGTACAACAAGGAGGAGCCCATTGATGTGTGAAGTGATTTTGGTTACACTACATTGCATGACAGTGAAGCTATTGAATATTGTTGTAGTAGGTATTTTCCGCATTGCACTTTGTAGACGGTCCCTGCGCACTCGTCTCGCAGCCGGCCGCTCATTGAGACCAATGCAGATTGTCCAGCTCGGAGGAGTCCGTAAGACGGCCAGTTTTAATTAAATTAAGGTTGTAGCTTGTTGTCTACCTCACTACGGTTACAGGGAGGTATCGTTTGTATTTTAGCAACGTTTCGTTAACGATTTATTGAACCGGGAAGTCCGAATCTGTCAATATCTTTCTAACTTTACCTAACCTACATTTGATACTTATATTTTACTGATAATATTTAACATACCTGCAAACTTTCCGCTTTTCGACGAAATTCGCCATTTTGATTCAAAATATGTCATCCACGTGGATCGTGTAGATCCGTAGAGTTTTTATTTTTTTCTGGTCTGGGTTTAAAGCTTCACAAATGGGAAAGTTTTCGGGTTATGGGGCCATTTGTCTGATCTTTTGTTTTTGGTTTGTCAACAGGAGCTTTGAAAAATTGACATTTTATTGACTATACAATTGATTAATTTATCAGTAAAATCATGGGCAGACTAACCGATACTCTTAACTGGTGGCCATGTCCACAGGCTACTCATGTGACCCGGCTCTGTTTCTGATGATTCAGCAGAATGACACCTAAAAGACCTTCCATAGTGAACCCTGTTGTCAAACCCCATGCCTCTCTGCCTCTCTGTCCACCAGCAGATGCAACCATGCCGCTCCAGCTTGTGTACAGCAACCAGGACTTTGTTGCGGATTTGCATCGGAGCAGTGGGAGCAGACCTGGGTTTGCGTCACCGGCAACACAGTTTGACACGACCATCCGAGCCGGCTGGACGGACAGGATGAGCAGGGGCCTCTTCCGTTACCATCTGGGTGATTTACAAACACGGATCCTGCCGGGCCCGTATGGCTATGTGGCCCAGCTGAATATTGAAAGAGGAGTGGAGAGAAGAAAGCCTCAGGATATACTGAGCATTCAGCAGGAGTTCAATGGCAAGCAGTTTAATTTCAACAAAATCAATCCAGAAGAAGTCCTATTTGAGATGATAAAGGGCGTTGAGGGAGGAAATGAAAAGGGACAGTTGCATGAACTCTGCAGGATGGTTGTGCTGGTCAACGTCAGCCCGTTGGAGTTTGGCCATTGTCTCTTTGTTCCAGAGCCGTCACGCTGTTTCCCACAGGTCATGACGAGCTTTGCCATCCGGGTTGGTATTGAATCTGTGCTCCTGAGCTCCGATCCCGGCTTCCGTGTGGGGTTCAATAGTCTGGGAGCATTTGCGTCTGTCAATCACTTACACCTACATGGGTATTACCTGGATCATGAGCTCAAGATAGAATCCATGCCGGTCAAGCCTCTGGTTCCTGAAAGGGGATTTTACGGCTTGTTGGACGTTCCCGCAGGCTTTTTGTTTTACACAGAATCGGAGAGGGTGGAGAAGGTTGCTGAAGCCATCTGTCAAGTCACAGACTTTCTTGTGGACGGTAATATCGCTCACAATTTGTTCCTGACGAGAGGATGTCCGCCCTGCGATCGCACACGGAACGAAAAAGGTCACCGTTCAAGAAACGGTGTTCGTATCGCTGTATGGCCGAGAACATCGAGCTTCGGGGCCAAAGAGGAGTCTGCCTTCAATGTTGCTCTCTGTGAGCTCGCCGGACATTTACCCTTTAAGAACAAGAAGGACTACGAGTTAATTTGTGAGAAAGATGTAACGGATATAATCCAGAGGTATCTTCTGCCTGATCCACAGTTTCACATGTTGGAACAGCAGCTCACTCGTCATTTGATGGATTTATAAAGTATGGACGCTAAAGCCTTTTTAAATCAACTAGTTTAGAAGCTACACATTCACAATGGGTTTAGCTTAATCAATGAAGAAAATGAGTATCTTTACACTGGATTGTGCTTTGGGGGCTATACTGAATCTGTCCTGCATCTGGCCTAAATACAACATTGGATGTGCACAAAAAAACATTCCTACATGAATATATTTATCCACGAGAATACATTTAATGGACTGAAGGATGTGCTGTATTAAACTAGTTTCAAAGCAGTTTGTTTGTTTGTTTGTGTGTGTGTGTGTGTTGTGTCAAGCAAGACGTTCTAGAAGTTTGTGAGAGCTTCAACAGATCTCTCTCTCAGAACACATGTTGAGGTGTCCCACTGGGAGAAGCACAGGTGTAAATAATGTAATTAACGATGGCTGAGTTCCATTCAGCTGTTCCAGTTTCGGGGTCCTGGTATTGTGCGTGCTGGCTCTCGGTCACACTGTTATGACTAACTGAGATTAGCAACACCTGCACTTTTCCTGCAATGACAATGACTTGTGAAAAGAAGCCTGTAAACCATGGCTGTTTACACCGAGTACACCACCTCACTCACTGTATGCACATTCTGGAAGTTCACGGGTAGTTCCTGTTGGGCTGTGAAGGTTACAGACGTGGACCTATGACTTGATGGTTGTAGATTTTGATGCAGGATGAACACTTTGCACTGCCCTCATTACCGCTAGTGAGTTGCCCTTGAGCAAGGCTTTTAACCCCCAACTGTTCCAGTGAAGCGGGGGGGGGGGGGGGGGGAGCAAAAGGGGGGGGGTCCCTTGGGGGGGGTTGTGCTTTTATTCAAAAAATGACTCCACGTGTCGTTCTCCCGTATTCTGAAGAAGATGCAAGAGCTGCTTCATCAAAGCCTGACAGCGGTGCTCCAATGAAGGGAGAGATCACAGCTACACATCATCCCTCAGGAGCATATCTTCTGCCAAAAGTACATCACCAAGGTAGCGGTGCCAAGCCGAGCAGGAAGATCAATGTGCACAGTTACCCGCTCGCTCATTTTAATGAGGTTCCTCGTTGGTGAGCGCGCAACCAGTGCATCGATCTATAGGTTTAGCTGCTGACGCGCTCGTTTCATCCAGGTGAGTTAGTGATTCAACAGGACGTTTACTTTTGCAGTTATTTTGTTCTGCCTGAACGGACACAATTAACAATGTATCTCCTGTTTCAGCAAATGTTTTAATACATGCAGTAATAAATAAGAAAATGACACTCGAGTTACAACTCAATTTTATTCTTGATCCATAGATTTGAACTATTAACATCGCTTTTTCTTTTATCGGCAGGCATTTTATTTCCATTTGTCACCACAGTTTCATCAGAAGATAGAGGGGGAACATGCACGTGACCATAGGGAGCTGCTGTGTTTACTTACGTGACACGTAGGTGCAGGACAGGACGGGTCTGCATGACATTTACTATTTACGTTGGGCAGCCAGTGTATTCATTCACCCTTTCTCTACTGTAAAGGTTACGTAGTGCACACTGCAGGGAGAGAGTTTGCCCGAGCTAGTACATCACCATAGTTAAAGACTGACAACACCAATAGCAGCCAGTATATGGACAAAAGGATTATTTACACTCTCCTTCAAGTGTGTCTTCCGTATTAAAGGAATAGTTTGTCATTTTCACCGCTGTTTGTACGGCAACTGCTCACTGACAAAAAATAGTCCAGCACATGTCCCTCCATTAGGCTTCAGATTACACTTCGCTTGTTGCACAAATTCAACGTCCAAGGTATTGTGTCTTAAGTTTTGTTATTTTTCTGCATTTGTTTTTTTTTCTGTGTTCCCCTTTTCCAGTCTTTATGCTAAGCTAAGCTAACTGGCTTCTGGCTCATGAGAGTGATATACATCTTCTCATGTAACTCTGAGACGCAGGCGTTGGCATCATTTTATCAACCATCTCAAGCTGCTGAATCACACAGTTATGTCCAAAATAGTGAATCTCTTGAGTTGAAGTTTCTACACTTTTACAGCAAATAGAAACTCTTATCAGAGTGTATTTTCTTATTTTGCTGAACCACACAGTTTTGATTTCTACAGTTGTATTGTTCCAGTGGTAAATACTATACCATACTTTTTATTTTACACAAATTTAGTAATTCTTTGAGCAAAACAAAGGTTTAAATGTAAACTTAAAAAAAAATTATTTTACATTCTGCCTATACAACAGTGCAGACTTTTGTCAATGAAAAAACTGGACCCTTGTCTCATCCTTGAACCCTGCGTCTGTGATGGTCGACTGAGTCAAACCTGTTGTGCATCTTTGTAATCGGGCATGGAGACGCATTATTTACAGTTGATGCTTCACTGGATGAGCCCTGTAGAGGACATGAGAACCTTCTCACCCGCTGAGTAAGAAAAGGACAAAAGTGCTGTAGAAGCCTTTACAATAGAGACAAGCTTCATATGTCAGACAAATATGACTTTTCATCTTTCTCTGAGTGTTTGTGTTAAGGGGAAATATCCCCCTACCCTTCTATCTGTTGGCTGGATGACACTCTTGCGTTATCTTACGAGTGTAACCAACACAATCTGTCGACAGGATGTCCAAGTAGACATCTTTCTCCTGTTTGATTAGGATCAGGGGAATGTGTCCTCTGTCCTTTACCGTAAAAACAGTAGAATTTAACATTACAGTGCCATGTTTTCACTGTGTGATGATTTATCCTCTACTTTACAGGATGCTGGGAAGAAATATGGAATTAAATTAAAGAAGTAAGATGCATCTCTACTTCAAGATGTGTCGCCACCTGAAACAAGTCTATAGTTCATACGCAGTCACTCCCTCCAATAAGGGACTGTGGGAGGGTCCTCGTATCAAAGCAAACACCCATCTTCACTTGTGCATATTAGGCTCGTGGCCTTTAAAGTCACTTCTGCGGAGAACAGCACACTTGAATCATTCAGCTGCCGCTCTTCTAACTTGTGTTACAAAGGATCAAGACTAACCCAGCACCATGGGCTGTGTTCAAAGCTTCAGGGAATTGTGCGACCGTCAAAAAAATACCAATGTTCGTGTCAGTCTCCCAGCAGTTTGCTTCGTGTGGCAAACAGCCATGATCATCTTGTTTGGGGTTTTTGTTCGCTACAACGAAGAATCGGATGCACACTGGATAGAGCACAGAAAAGTTGAAAATATATCCAGTGACATAGAGAACGACTTCTACTACAGATATCCAAGTAAGTAAATGCATTATGATATTTTATTTCTTCTCTCTCCACTACACACTCTGTTTTCCAAATGTCTGTTATCTCAATCATGACTTTTATTTCTTAATTTATTATAGCAACTTAATATCTATCTTTATTCGTCCACATTGCTGCACATTTAGCTTTTTGTTTATCATTTTATTAATATTTGTCTTTTGACCGATCAGCTTATTCCTGCAGGCTGAGATAAGGCTCTGGCTCCCACAGGTGCACATTTCTCTTGGGGGTTTGACTCCCCTCATTCTTTTCTTTCCAGTTCAGCTGTGGTGATGTTGGACTTCTTTGTATTCGTGAAAATGTTTCATGGCCGAACACTAACACCATGGGTTGTTGGGAAGACGTCGAATACAACAATAACAATATTTATATATAAATATATGAGTGTTGTTGTATTTTACGCTTCCCCCACAACCCGCGGTGTCAGTGTCAGGCTATCGTGAAGCCATCTCAGACGTGGTGTTGGATGTCAGATGATAAATGGACATCCTGACACATTCAGGTGACTAACAAGACCTCATCCTGGAGTTGCAGGACCTTCTTCTCCAACACGATGCCCTCCGCCAGTGTTGACACCAACACAGTCTGAAATATCTGCAGTGTGTGTTGTTTAAGCTGTAAAAATGCATCCAATCTGATGTGATGTAAGATTTGTGCTGTCATTTATTTTCTATGCAAACTAAATTGTTCCACATACATTGGACAATAGGTTCAGCGGGAACCTATTGTACCCTGAGGTGTGTCAGGTATACTGGCTGGTTTCTGCTGGTATCCACATACTGCTGATATGATACAGTGGGTACGGAAAGTATTCAGACCCCTTTAAATTTTTCACTCTTTGTTTCATTGCAGCCATTTACTAAAATCAAAAAAGTTCATTTTATTTCTCATTAATGTACACTCAGTACCCCATCTTGACAGAAAAAAAGAGAAATGTAGAAATTTTTGCAAATTTATTAAAAAAGAAAAACTGAAATATCACATGGTCATAAGTATTCAGACCCTTTGCTGTGACACTCATATTTAACTCACATGCTGTCCATTTCTTCTGATCCTCCTTGAGATGGTTCTATGAGATGGTTCTACTCCTTCATTGGAGTCCAGCTGTGTTTAATTAAACTGATTGGACTTGAATAGGAAAGGCACACACCTGTCTATATAAGACCTTACAGCTCACAGTGCACAGAGTGAAAAATTTAAAGGGGTCTGAATACTTTCCGTACCCACTGTATTTAGTGTCTCACGCAGGAGAACAACCTGTGCCAGAAATGAAACTACAAGTTGTCTGTTTGCTTATTAAGGTTATTATTATAATATTGGAGCTTGAGGGTTCATTCTTGGTCTCTGAAACAGCAGTTTGACTTCCCCAGCAGATGGAATTGACACTAATCATCGAGACATATTTATTTATCCATTTCGTTTCTTCCTAGTATTTTACCTGTTTATTATCAGACATGCATTACACCTACGTATGTGTGGTATATATATATGGTATGTACGTATATATTGTATATTTGATTTGGATGTGGAATTCCCTCCCCTTTTCTGTCCTTTGTGCCAATTCCCATCCTCCTCCTCATCTCTCCCTTCTGTCCCAGGTTTCCAGGATGTCCATGTGATGATCTTTGTTGGATTTGGCTTCCTGATGACGTTTCTTAAGCGCTACAGCTTCGGCGCGGTGGGTTTCAACTTCCTCATCGCAGCCTTTGGCCTCCAATGGGCGCTGCTGATGCAAGGCTGGTTCCACTCCCTGGACTACAGTGATGGAAAGATCAAAATTGGAGTTGAAAAGTGATTGTTCAGTTTAATTCTCAGTACAGATTATCATGTTTTTGTATTTTCTCTAGAATCCTCCCTTCATCTTATTCTATTTGTTTCCATTTGTATGGTTTCAATAGGAAAAAAACAGACATGAATACATAAGGAGGTGGAGAAACCAGTCTAGCTGGCAGGATCTCGTAAAGATATTTCCATACACCTGTAAATTTAGTTTTTGCCAAATCACTTTGTGTCAACATATATGAACGCAGTATGAGAGAAAGAAAGAGAAAAAGTAGGATAACTAGATAAGTTTATGATAGCTTCAGTACTCAAAATGACATCATTGTTAACGATTGTACTCTTTATTTAGTTTACTGTCTTTGAATAAGTGCATCGTTCGCCAATATAATACTGTATAATATTTGGTCAGAACAGATTACAGCTGATTTCCATATTGCTTTGTTCGTCCGCTGCATTTGAACTTTTTTCCCCCTCTCACCTTAGCATGATCAACGCTGACTTCTGTGTGGCCAGCTGCTTAATAGCCTACGGGGCGGTGCTTGGTAAAGTCAGTGCAGTCCAGCTGCTGGTTATGACCCTGTTTGGGGTCACGTTGTTTGCCGTGGAGGAATATATCATCCTAAATCTCATACATGTAAGTTGAAACAATAATTTATTTGTGTTTTGATATCATTCAGCTGTATCAATAAAGCGGAAGAGAACATATCTCACGGTGTAGCTGACGATTTTTTTTACAACTTGCCCAACACACCAACTGCACGTCGAACGTCTTCCTCAGATTTGTGTATTTATGGTTTAGTTGCTCTATGATTCTGCAGCCGAGCATGCGCCTAAATGCTGTGACTTACAGCTGGGTAGATTTTGCTAATGACACCTTGTAATATTCTTATAGCTGTATCTACTGTATCTACTGCCACTAATGCTATTATTTGCTTCCCTGAAGGCCAAAGATGCTGGAGGCTCCATGGTGATCCACACATTTGGAGGTTACTATGGTCTCTCCATCTCGTGGATGCTCTACCGGCCAAACCTGGACCAGAGCAATCGTCTGCAGGGCTCCGTCTATCACTCGGATGTCTTTGCCATGATTGGTGAGCGTGATTTCATCACATACTTATTTTCACAATACTTCTTGTTATTCTGGTGGTACTGTGGATCTGCAGGATCTTTAAGGTCCACCCTGCTTTCTGCCAAGGCACCCTCTTCCTGTGGATGTTCTGGCCCAGCTTCAACTCAGCCATCACAGACCACGGGGACGGGCAGCACAGAGCAGCCCTAAACACATACCTGGCTTTGGCCTCAACTGTGCTCACTACTGTGGCCATCTCCAGCCTCTTCCAGAAGCATGGGAAACTAGACATGGTAACGACCTCTTTTTTTTTACGTCAGTCACAAACACTCATAAAGTTAAGCACTTATGTATGATGGACATGACGGTATGAGGTGTGTTTATTTATCAAGCTGACAGTACTTGAAACAGGTCACCTTGTTGATTTGGTGAACACGACATGCAATGACTTCTGTGCCCCACCAGAACAAACTTAAACTTATAGTCTTGTATGCATACTCTGTTTCATCTGATGCAGTAAACTCATAATTCAGAAAAGAGAGACCAAACTGACACACAATTTCTTTTTTCTGCACGCGTTTTTCAGGTCCACATCCAGAACTCCACTCTTGCTGGAGGTGTTGCAGTAGGAACGGCAGCAGAGTTCATGCTGATGCCCTACGGGTCTCTGATCGTGGGGTTCTGCTGTGGCATCGTCTCCACACTGGGATATGTCTACCTCACGGTATGGTATTTATCTGGTTTATTGTGATATAGCTTTCATGAGACAAGCCTCACTTGAGTTTTTGAAAGTGTTCATTAAGCCATCCAGGCAATTAGCTACAAAAATGCACCATTTTTACTCTCCACAAACATATAAAAAGTTACTGATCCAGAATATTTAACTTGCTGATTAAGTCTAACTTTGGGTTATATAGCATAGCACATCATGTGTTTTACCTCATTACTTTTGCTGCTCTTAAGTGAACTGTCGGTCTAAATTAAGTTAAATTAAACTCTTAAGATGTTTAAGTAAGCTCAGTTAAGCCTAACTCTCTCTCTCTCTCTCTCTCAGCCTTTCATGGAGAAGCACCTGAAGATCCAGGACACGTGTGGAATCCATAACCTGCATGCCATGCCAGGAGTCATAGGTGGCATTGTGGGAGCCATTACTGCCGCATCTGCAACAAAGTCTGTTTATGGTGCTGAGGGGTGAGTGGTCCTTGCTGACGAATAGAGAGGTCAAGGTAGCTCACACGTTTTGAATAGATAGAAGATTATCAACCAGTAAAGGAATATTTGTGTTCTTTGGCCAAATATAGTCTTTTGTTCTGAAAAAAAAACCATTGTGAGTAACTTTTTTTTTTTTTGTATTAAAGGCTCATTAACACCTTTGACTTTGAGGGTGATTTCAAGGACATGGTCCCCACACGGCAGGGTGGTCACCAGGCTGCAGGCCTCTGTGTGGCCATCTGCTTTGGTGTGGGCGGAGGTATCCTTGTCGGTGAGTAGTAACAGCCTTCAGTATGACCATATAAAAGAAAATATCCAGTATGTACTGTAAATAACTGATGTTGCTGTGTTTGAACAAGGTGGGTGTGTTTGCACGTAGTGGATGACAGATTGTGTTTTGGGATAATGACTTAATTTGTATTCTTCTCAGGTTGTATTTTAAGATTACCTATCTGGGGAGATCCTGCAGATGACAATTGTTTTGATGATGAGCCCTACTGGGAGGTAAGCGACTATTCTTTCATCCATGAAGAGGTTTTCACAGTTTTAATGTCAATATCCCCTCAAATCATCTCAGTCAGACGTTCATCCCACAGAAATTGTGAAGTTGCCCAGAATGAATACCTTGATATCTTACATTTCAATGATTTTATTTGAGTGGTGTTTTTGTAATGTTTGATAAATGCAGTTCTGTTAAAATGCATGCACACTGAATGAAATTTGGGACGCATCGTTGGGGCCAAACGGTCACACCCTGATTGATCGGCAGCGCCAATCAGATGCTCTAATTCAAATCTGCAGATTTTTCCAATTAATCTGGTGCAATCTGATCTGATCGGAAGAATTTATGTCATTTTTTATTGTGAGGAGCCAATCGGGACCAGCAGTGATGCATCACCAGAAATACTCAAAAGGAACAAAGCTTGAAAAATAAACTTTAAATGTATTAATTCAAACCAAATAAGAGTGCAAGAATGTTTAAACATCTTTGCTCTTATGTTTGTATAAATATGAAAACATACTTTGATTTATAGACGAGACATACTTTTAGTTTCTTTTGCTATTCTTGATCGGAAGCATTATACTGTTTTGTGTTCCTTACCCTGTTTGTGTACACTAAAGCTGTTAGGAAGTGGCTAGTCATTCTGCCACCTCTATTTACAAAGGGACGGTTCATAATTTTCCATTTTATGACACCAACAAGGTCACGTAGCATCATACGTTTAATTGTTGATTGATCATGCGGTTGTCGTTCTCCCCCTGAATCATTATGTTAAAACTCTGTTGCTCACAGCTCCCTGATGAGGAAGAGACCATCCCACCAATCCTTCACTACAACAACCACATGCGGAACAAAGATGTGTAAGTGTCCTTTTAGTTTCTGGTTCTGGTCATGCAATTCTGCTATTCTCACACAAACCATGCAGGAAGTGCCTTTGTTGTTGTGGAATGTGTTGCATTCAGTGTCCTCTTGGTGGCAGCAGATCCAAATGTGCGGAGGCCACATGTGACTCATTGCGGTTCCTGCCCTTTGTTGGGAATATTTATTCATGGTGTTGAATCCTATACCACAGAGGCCTGCAGTGTCCCTGTCACTCTGCGCGGGCTAGATTATGAAATGCTGACGTGGATCCTGTACTCCGTGCTTTCAAGTGGAGCTCACCTGTGCTGTTTGTTGATAGGGGTGTTTCACAGTACAGCTCTGCATGTGCAGCTCCTCAGAGTGACCTTCAAGTCATGTTTACTGTGGATATAGAAATGATACTATTACAAAAAGCTTAGCAGTCAGTGTAATCTACCCAGTCGAGTGATATGGAGTATGCAGGAACAACGAGAGGCCAAAGAAGAAAACTACATTGATCAAAACCTCGACACCACACACTGTCAGCAACAACTTGTCTGTGAAGTTTCATTGTCTTTCACTAATTATGTGACGCTCTTTTCCTTTCAGAGCGGAGTCAAATTTCTCTGTGGAGCAGACCTGACGCGAGGCCTTGTCCTAATGGATGTGTCTGTCTTTATCACACATCACCCGTTTGTGCCTTTTAATTTTCCTGCTACACAGAAATATTCATTTGATTCGATTAATTCACTCCAATCAAAACCAGTTTTTTTTCATACAGTTTGTCTTTTTGTTTTGTTTTTTGTGAAGTAAAAAACATATTGTCTGTTTTCCCAAGATAGTTATTTCAGTTTAAATCAATTGATATTCAATCAAATATTGCTATTAAGTGTGATTGGCATTCGCGGAGTGATTTGCCTCATTTCAAAATTAAAGCATAATGTAATTAAAACTGCAGAATTTGTCTCTTGTTCAATAGAAGATGCAGAGCTTTGATGAAAGTAACTTAAACATGACCATGAAAACATACAACCATGGTTCCTTTAAGTAGGTTTGAGAAAACATTTTAAAACCATGTTTTGTATTACATATGCTTCAGACCCTGAGTTGCACTTTGCTGTGGATTTTCCACAGAAGCTTTCACAACTTTGTTTTTACTGATTTGTTTTCTGTCTGCACGACATAACAGAATGCAGGTCACATTCAAAGTCAATCCACAGACTTTTTTTTGACATGTTTTTGCTTAAATTGTTGTATGTTGATTTGCGTAGTTGTTTTTTCTTTTATTGCAATTAGATGCATTGAAAAAATGAGTTAGTATCACGTTAGTTATTATGGATTTTCAAAATAAGAGCTGTGGTATTTGTTTTGTTATGCTGTGACATAAAGGATGTTTGGTAACACTTTACTTGGACCCACCCTAACTTAGCATTAATAAGCATTGTATGAACTCTAAATACATGTCTTTTAAGACACCATGTTGTATTGTTGCAAGCACAAAAGAGCATATTTTTAAATTGTATTTTACTGTATTGTCATTTATTTTCATCTTTTACACCAGCCTTCACATATGGGTGCTCACAGGAGGAGTTGCTGAGAAATAGATAAATAAGCACGACATTATGGTGTATTATAAACCATTTATTAAATGTTTATGTACTGCTTATAAATGCCAAATAGGAGGGTTAACGTAATGTATCCGTGAATATTCTTATCCACGTTATCGTTCTGACGATGAATATTTGTACATTTAGACGTTCCACAATGAAATATTTATGTCATGCTGTTTTGAAAAGTTTGTTAACGGTAATGTAATTTTGAGAATCAGTAAAGAGTTATTAATTATATAATTTATAATATATAATTTATAATTTCAACAAATTAAATAAAGTTATTTGTTAGTGACTGAATACCTTTAACCACTTTAAGAAATCAGTTTTGCAGAACATAATGGATTAAAAACTTACCAATTAAAAGAGGAGGAAGTAAGTAGTTTTTTCTCATTTAAGAGCCCTTCAGCGTCCCCTCTCTCGAAGAGTCAGGCTGAGGGTAAAGGTCACACCCTTATTGCTCTCTCGGGACACTGTGTGACCAAAAACAAACTAGAGACCAGCATCATCATCGTGACCTCTGGTCAAAGAGTAGCAAAAGGGCAAGGGCACCGGCAGGGCTGCACACATATGCTGGAGTCCATCAATTTAAATTGATAGAGAGAATTCCTGTGGATTCACACACTGAATATTGGTGCTATTTTTTGCACATGGCTGGGTAGAAATGTGGAGGAGTAGTTTCATTCTATTAGAAATAGTCTGTCAATAAATGGACCACGATGTCTTTAAGTATATGTCATTTCACTATGCAGTCCATTACTGTCCTTCTGCCTATTTGCTGATGATGGCAGTAATTTCCATGTGCTCTGTCTTCTGTCCACCTGTCCGCGGTGTTTTTTTATTGATGGAAGGCGGGCAGCAGCTCGTGGTGGGAGTGCAGATGATTCCCACACATGAGTAGCAGCGAGGAATCCATCGCCTCGTCCAGTCTCCTCGCTAACAAAGGCGGACTTAGTGCTGTTTTCTTTTGTCATCAGTAACGTGTTTGAGTAAAGGAGGTAATGGTGCCACAAGTGCTCCAATTAAACAAGATGCAGCCCTGCTGGGAAGAAAGGCTCCCTCATTGCCCCCAAGAGCCCCCAAAATACATACACACACACACAAATCGGGCCTCTTCTCATCCTACCCCCATGCAGTTCCCGTCCCAACTCTGCTCATGTTTATTCATCAGCCACTTACAGGGCAAATGCAGAGGCCTATTAAAACTAAATCTCTCTTATTTATAAATGATACGGGGCCATCCTCTCTGAGGTAGAGGGAACCGTGCCTTATGGCATCATGACAGCCATGTTTGAAGACGTTTACCCTCCTTTGGACAGACACTGACCACCGATTTGACTTGCACAGGGGGGAAAAAAAACACAAAGTGTACAGGGATAGCAGGGGAGCAGAGAGGCCACAGAGAAGGTGGGATGGAGAAACTTGAGGAGGCAAGGGGGCATGAAAAGAGGGAGGGACAGACGGAGAATGAGGCCTCACTTCCATTGCTGATGACTGACTGCCTGCCATCCGGGCTCAATCACGATCTTTGATTGGCAGGTCGGGGGGGAAGGAGAGGGTGGGAAAGAGGGTAGGGCGAGAGCTTAGAATGGGAGCTGCACAAAACATACTCCCATACAGGGGGCCGTTGAGACGCTCATTAATGATAAAGAACATACCAGGGAAAGCATGTTTTCTCTGCATGTTGTTTGTAGGTTGAGATTAGTTTGTAGTCTTGCGATGTAAAATGCACAGAGCATCACAGGGCTACGTCCAACGTGGGAGGTCGCGTCAGAGCACCTGGCAGTGGCCATTTGGCTTTTTGTTTTCTTATTTTTCACCATTATTCTAAGAAAACGATGTAATATGTCTAACGGTGATTATGTTGCCAGCATATTCATTTGATTGTTTTACAGTTTACGCATAGGTGTCAGTCACTCTGCAGTAAAACTCCCCTGAATTCACTTTACAGTTACGAGGATCTACCGCGTTTAGAGGAGTATTCAGGGATCCATGTTCACTCCCGTATAAAGAGAGCAGTAAAAGCCCCTATTGAAAGAAACCACAAGTCCATAGAACTGGTCATAAACCATTCAAGCCCTCACTCTTTTCTCTCTGTACTTAATCTGCTCACGTTCTGTGCAGATTCAGTGTCCCCTAAAGGTTACTTCTCAGCAGGTGCATCTGATTTCCAAAACGTCTCTGACCATTTAGATCTGGACTGTCATTTTGATGCCCAATACTTATGGAGTGCCATAATGTCCCAACATCAGTCCTGTCCTCATTTACAGTGGTGGAACCAACAGTGCTTTCCATACCCATACTACCACACTATTCAGTATGAATATATAAAGACGTTTACTTGTAGTGGAGTATATTTATATTGTTTTACTGGTACAGTCAGAGTAAATGATCCGAGGCTACCTCTTCCACCGTTGCCCATCACCTTTTTCTCTTCTGATGAACCTCCTAGCTCTTGCCTCCCCATGCCACTAACTGTCCACAGAGGCTGCTTAAGTGTCCCTATCGGACCACAGTGGAGAGGAACAGCAGATTAACCATGATCCTATCCGCTCACCGCTAGCCCCTTCATACGCTCCGTTACACCAGCATTTATAAGGAGGAGGGGACGCCATTCAGGCCCCTGATATGAATCCCAGACGAAGGGGACAAGAACAGAGCTTTCACCCCCAGTTTCACAGAAAAGACCCCTTTCTGGCACCCTCTAATTCTGGTTGCCACGGGCTCCTGGGTTCAATGGTGGACTCCCGTTGTGAGGGGACAAAGCCTCTCAGTCATCCGGCGATGGTTGCTAGGGGAGGCAGAATGTGTGGGGAGGGACGGGCTGCCGTTGTCCCAGACGAAATGTCTCTCTTAAGGCGGCAGAGATCTGGTGATTGACAGGTGGCTACACGCTCCACTGCAGATCACCCGGGAGGTCTGGGGGGCCTTATATCTGTGACCGTGTGAGTGAGTGTGTGTGTGTGTGTGTGTGTGTGTGTGTGTGTGTGTGTGTGTGTGTGTGTGTGTGTGTGTGTGTGTGTCCATGGCAGGTTACGTTAGTTGGCAAAGAAAACATGGGGGGAGTATAGCAGGTTTCTGCTGATATGAAAGTGGCACCGTCTATTACCTGTAGAGGGAGCTGCTTCTGCTTCAAACAGCTGTTCAATCAGCTTAATAACTAATAATCTACTGTGTTGATGTTAAAAGTACCATAAAACAAGAAAAGAAAAAAACTGTAAAACCTTACTTAATAAAGATTTAAAAAAGTACTTCTGCAGAAAAACTACCAAATGATAATTCTTAATACTGATGTATCAATGCATAAGCAGCATTTTACTGTTGTAGCTGGTCACCTTAACTTAGTGGTCTCCAAAGGGTCAAGATAAATCTGAGGGGTTGTGAACAAAAATAACTTTTGCCTCACAAATCTCTGTGAGTCTCCGTCTTGACTTGACTTCTTTGTTTCTTCTGTGAAACAAATGGATAACTTTACCTCCTTTGACCTCCGAACTGTTATTAAATGAAACCATCTGAGAACTTTAAGGTGTAAATGAGTCTTTGGTGGAAATAATAACAATTCATAGATATGAATTATAGACTATACTGAGCATTTCGACATTTCAAATGACTATCTGTTAAAAGATTTATAAAATCTAAAATCGGAATAAAAGAAATTTAAAAAAATGAGTACCTACTTCAACTATAAAGGTAAACAATTACAGAGTAACGTGCTGTTCATGGTTGGCATAAGTCTAGTATTTGCTGTATGTTGTCCTATATTGTGTGTATATATACACACAATATAGGCTACATATCATGTATGCACAATCATGTGTAGGTAAGTATACTAAAGTGATAAAAAGATATTGAATAAAAAAATTGTTTGAAAGTGCAAGTGGACAATAAGCATCATTGAGTTAACAGAGACTAAAACAGTTTGGTCTAGTTTAAGTGAAAACGAAGAGACAAAGGTAAAAGCTTTTGTGTAACTGAGACAGAGCGAACGCATTGTAAATCAAAAAGGGTAAATTAAGGCTATCGGTTTGTGTTTATCTGCATCAAAAGGATTAGTGATATTCAGATTCAGTCTCTCCCCAGCCTGGGAACTATTACCCCGCCACTCTCCAGACACCAGCAGTCCCTGTTTCCCCCTCCAGGGCCACGGAGGTGAGTGGGAACAGACAGGGTAGGACGTGAGGATCTAAAGGGGTTCACACAGGACACCGTCTCCCCTCAGATAGACGTCTGGGACAGTCTGGGTTCTGCACTCCCAGACAGGGAGCCCTTCAATCCATCAGATGCTGCCCACGCCCATCCCCATCCCCCTTCCCCTTGACCTTGACTCTCTGTCACTGTGGCCCTCCAGACAGTCTGGGGTCAAAGGGTAACACAGCAGCCACACATCAGACACGGTTCAAGTCCCCTGTGTCCATATGAATGCTGAATGGTAAATCACCCTAAAATCAGTCTGTTGGAATGTGGCTTTGAATTCCTGCAGCGATGGACCCAAAGACCTGCAGGGAGACCGTTAGAAATGATTGTGACAATATGAAGACCATGAAAACAAATGGTTACATTTATTGCATTCACTAGCTGCAGCAGTATGGATTTAAACACAAATAAATTGTATTTGAATGTTTTATTATATTTAAGCAGTGGCTTATCTATAGTTTTTGTTTATTCATAAAGAGAATCAGCTTTCAGCCGCATTAAAGACCATTTCCAAGCAGCCATGCTACATTTTACCTTTCACCTTTGATTGCTGATTCACATCGTCTTCAGCCAATCACGGCCGAGCTAACCAGCATGTCATGACAGATTTGTGAGAGAAGGGAACGGCCGCATCCTCATGAGGCTATTTGAAAAATGCCAACTGGCACAGTGTGAAGCTCTGATGAGCCTCATGTGAGCATGCGCACAGTGCTGATTGTGTCTCAACATGGGCTCATCTCTCACTCCCACATACTGTCACTCCCTCTTTCCCCTCCTGTCTCTAAACTCTTTTAGACGTGCATCACTGTTTTTGTTATCAAAACAAATATCCTGAGATCCCCCATCATTCTCCTCCTAATCACATGTACATTTGTAAAGCATCTCATTTCTTTGGGAGACATTTTAAATTATAATAAGCCAATTTAAAGTGTAGATGTAAACCAAAATCTGAGGATTGGTGGGCGCACGACCACAGGACAGGACAAAGCAGCAGTCACAACAGTGTTTATGCCACATTAGTTCTCCTATAGACGTGGACAAGCACGGTGACAAAAAGGACATACAGAATCAGACACACACACAGCTTCCTCTCCTCACTCACACACACTATACGTTAGTTTTATTCTGTAGACAAACAAGTAAATGCCTTTTGTAGTTTTAGATGCCAAGTTGCTTTGCCTGTGCTGCTCTAAACCCTCATCAGTGTTTTCATGAAACCTTAACCTGCATCCAAGGATTTCACTTGCTTTTTAACCCCCCATCTTATTAGTAAGGAAGCTTCTTCAAAGGCTGGATTTGGGTGTGTAGATGACATTTCGAATGTAATTATTTTTGCACTTTAATTTTGCAATACGTTAAAAAAAATATCAAGGTAGAGCACAACACCTTTAGTATTAATTTAGTTAATAAAAATGATAAATAAGGGATTGGTTACTCTTATTTTAATTGTTAATTAGGCTTCACGTTTTTTTTCTTTTTACCAGAACCAATTTTAAAGTTAATTCAGTTTCTTCTTTATGTAAAATTGACATTGTGATTGTCGTGACAGCATGTTTGCACTTCACAAGGCTACATCTGATTTCAGTTCGTTTTAGTGATAACGCCTCACGAAAATAAATTCAGAAAATATCGTCACTAAAATAGATCTTTTTTCTTTTTTTCCATTATTTTCAATACGGTTATAACTACAATCAAAAGGTTGTACGCTGCAAGCGGCACACTGTTGTTTGGTTATTTGTGGAGAAAACAAATATTTACCACACACAAATAGGCCTTTCTTACATTAAAACGTTCCTGTGCTTTTTGTATCCTCGAAAGTCTCGTTATACAAACAAATATCGATAATTGTTGCGTTATTAGTAATTAAACAACCCAATTGTTGCCAAAATCATCGCATGGCGAGCCGTCAAAAAATGTAACCTTAAAAAAAAAATCATATATCATCTGTTTATTTTGAATTCATGTCATCGCGCAGCATTTAAACCCCAGCAGACAATCATTATTGTGCCGACATAATAGAAGAGGAGCCTACACAGGGCTTGTGCAGGCTGACTCTCAGAGGAACAACAGTACATTACACCGGTCGTCCATTAACTGTATTACAGGCCGGGAATGAGCTGCAGCAAGAGGCGGTGCACGCGGCACTGATGGTGTTACGCACCAATCAAGGGAGGCACTTTGGCTGTAAACACTGATGTAAAGTCGCAAATGAAAAGGTGTAAATTAATATCCGGGCAACTAAAACAACTTACAAGAAATAAATAATACATTTTTATTTAGTAAAAAGTAACATAAATAGGCTATATTTGATAATTGAAGTATACTAAAAATACAAACTATTAACCAGCGAATTTGTAAGCTGGCTATATCTAAAGCTTTTTCGAGGAATATCATAGTGATATCTTGATAAATAACATGTAATCAGTTTCTTCACATGCTATAGGCTAAACCCCAAACCAGAGGATAGCTAAAACTGTATAGGATTATTGTAAGAATATTAACCTGTTTCTAGTTTTTAGACTTTATTTTTCACTTTGATATCCTGTTTGTGGTAATTGTTCCAGGATCAGTTTCTCCTTGGCACTGTCCATTCAGTACTAACAACTACAGTTGTTTTTTCTTTAGATAATTCCTTTGGTCTCTCCCCTTGACAAAGATACATATGCTCTAAAATGATATTGCATGGGAAACAAACTAGCTAAATGTAGAACTTTCTCTGCCTTCATATTTCTTCATGTAGTGTTTGTTTGATTTATTATATGCAGTCAATTTCAGCTGACAGCAGAAAGAAGCTTTCATTCCACTGGATCCATTTAAAAATATAGTTTTCTTTACATATTTTCCATTCTTAAACTATTTAAGAAACCCAACATAGTTTGGATTAAGCATCAGCTCCTTGGGGGAGGAACCAATTGATTATAAAGAGACCCAGACTCTTTGGGAGGAGAAAAGGGCCCCCTGTTGTTTTAAACCAGCTCCTCTAACTTTCCAAAATGCAGGGGCCCAGAGGCAGGGCTGTGAGGAGTGAGTGTGCCTCCAGTAAATGACGCAGAGCGACTCCTCTGAAGCAGCAGTGGGCTGGGTGGTGAGGAAGGACTTGTAGGATGCATTAAATCAGCCTGATTAGGAGTTTTAGGCGAGGGCAAGGCTCGGGTCTGACTGAAAGCCTGCCGGCAGCTCTTGAGTGATACTATTCACATCCTGGGAGAAAGGTCAGTGCCAGAGGAGTTCACAGGCCCCATCTCCATTCTTATGCTAAAGGATCATATACACATAGGCTTATTCAGTGTCTAGAAAGGCATAAACAGCTTCTACTGACTTTCCCTCCAAAAAGTTTGGATTCTTTAGCTTGAGCTCTGAGGTAGTGCCTCTTTGTTCATCTCTCTTGTTGCTTCTGAAGTGGATATTGGTTTAAATTTGAGATTATTGAAATCAGCCATTAATGTTTATTTGCACCTATCCTTTTGAAAGAAAGTCTAAATCATGTAAAAAAATAAGTTATTATACATTTTAAAAAGTGTCCTCTCTAAATTAGAGCTACACGCTATTTTAAAAGTTTGTTTTTACTTTTTATTTCCTTCGGTAAAAGAACCTCGGAGGTGAACCTGCTGTTCACCCCCCTTATATTATCCGTGTTACCAGTCATAAACTTGTTTTATAGTAACCAGGTTTTATTAACTTCCTGTAAATAGACTTCTTCAGGCATTTTCCTGTTTGTCTCTGAGTGCAGTGGTCAATGGGGAATGGGAGGAAATAGCCACTTAATTAGCGGCCCTTGACCTTTGGCTCTGGCTCAGACGGCTCCTGACCTGATGTCTCTCCAGCCTGTTTAATGTCCTCTGGGGGACTGTCCAGATCGTGACCCCTGACCCCATGCTGACTTACAGGGACTCCACCAACAGGTCCCTGACCAGCCGTCCGGCCTCACAAGACACTCATCAAAAAGCAATAGCCAACCCAAGTAGCAGACTCAAGCAATTACTTCTGCAGAGGGACGATAGGACACTGAAGCTGACATGATTATATGCCTGGAGCTCTCCAACACGTGTTTGCAGAAAGAAACAGAAAAAAAACACACATTTGCAGAGCACACAGGGCAAAGAAAAATAAGTTTAATGATGAAAATCACCAGTGTAACAGTTTTTACAAAATCAATTGAAAACCCTGGGCTTTCGTTCCATCCACACTCCACAGAGGATGATTTCACTAATTAGTTTCCAGTCATCCAGATGGGGGGAACTAATCACCAAAATCAGTCGCTGTAAAGCGTTTTGATGGATTGAGAACATGCTGACTCCTGCATGGCTCTCCGTCAGAGAGAGAGAGCTCCACTGATACATGAGTGTGACTTTAGATTCAAGCATGAAAACACGGTGGTTTTACACTCTGTTCACCTTCAGTTCTTTATTAAAACTCCCATGTGTCCTCACTTTCTTTGTGAATATTTGTGTCTCTTTTCTGTTTGGTGTTTATTGTATTCAATAGCTTACCTTTATTTTGGTTTCTAGATCTATTTAGTCTATAGATAATATATTATAATATATATATATAGTATTCTAGTTTTTTTAAAGCCACGTATCTTTATGCAGCAGCTCTCGTACTTCTGCTGCTCTGATTACTGTGATCAGTAAAGTTTTGCTTTTTTTATCTTCATTTCTCTTTCATAAGGAGACAGTGATGCTTTTACACTTTATTCATTTCAATTAAAAGTTGGTTGTAAATTTTAGGAAAACATTTTAAAACAAATTAAGATACATTTTGGCCCATTGAATAAAATCGTATATATTATGGAAGTGATCCCATTAAAGTAATATTGTTTCATTGTTTAAAAATGATATATCAAACCTCTAAATCTAACATATAGCATTATTCATTTTCATTCAGGGGAAATGACTAAATTTGGGACATATCCTAAACAGACAGAGATAATCTCCTGTTGACCCTCTACGTGTCCATCTGTTGTTTGACTCCGGACACAGATCAGTCGGACACTGATTGAGGTCCAGCTGACACCAGGAAGGCCTGTAATCCCAAAACCTGATTAATCGTCCAAACTGGGCCCTGGTGGGCAGTCAAAAAAAAAAAAAGGATTTAAAGTTAGCAACACATAATTCTAAATATAACACACTCTTTTTATGTTATTAGTTTAGTCCTTACATTTTTCGAAGTGAAAAAAAAATCAGCACAATATGATAGTAACTTGGCATAAATAAAAATTGAGGGGAATGAATATAAATTTTATAGTGTAGAGTTCTGTGTGCGATGAACTTTTCTTTCCCCACACTGATTCAACACACGTCCCTCTGTCTGCTCCTCCTAATTAAAACTTAATGTGGGGTCACTCCAACCCGTTCTCACACGATGCTCACACACATTACCATTTGAATCTAAAAACAGAAAAGAGAGAGAGAGAAAGGGTGCTGCGGGATTGACTCCTAAATACATGGTCTATTTTAGATTTATTTTAATAGATTTTTTGGAAGATTAAAGACAAAGTGCTGTTGAAAATATTCAATATAAAAACCCTTCCTTTAGCATGTCAGTAGTGTAATAATCTGTTGTTTCCCTGCCTAATTGATCACCAAAAGAATTGCTTAAAAACACTACTGTAACACAGCGATAATAATACTTCCATTGTTTTTATTTCAAAGAAGTGTCAGCAGTCATCTTAAAACAATCACCTTTTTCGGTAATGCACTTAAATCTTATTAATTACTATCTCAATGTGGGCATATGAGAACAACGATTTCATAAATTCCGAATTGAAACATGCATTAGCTATGAAAATGCACTTAATGTACATTCAAGTTCTTTTTTTGCAATTTTTGAAAATAGCACTATTGTGTAAACATGGCGAATCACTTACACTTAATCATTAATACAGTATTATATAATAAACTTTCATGGATAACAGAGTTAAACATTTCAGGCTCTTTTGTTTCTACAGTCCTTGAACACACAGTGCAACTCTTCTCTGTTAATCTCTTGAATCCACAATATGGTGAGAGTTTCTGATGACACAACATGTCGTTGAGTTTGGTCCATGATCTCCTCGTGCCCAAGCAGGTGCCTGCAGAGTGCAGAAAGGCTTGCAGATCCCGTCCCATCCTGGGGATAAACGATGGAGGAAATCATTAGCATGACAATAAAACTTTGTTTCATAAGCGCTTATTAGTGTCCGCATGGACACTAATGATATTTCACAAGAAAGAAAGATTTTTTTTACACTAGTTTCTCTAGGATTATTGACAATTATATTGACAATATAACGTAAAAGAAAATTTGTTTCGTCAAGAACTAGAAGATAAAACATTCAGAATAATTAAAAGCTTTATTTACAAATCATTTTTCAAAGCTTGCAAAGCGCTTACAACATTTGTTATAAAAGAAATTAAAACAACAAAAAACCAAAGGGCCACAGAGTAAAGCAACACATAACAGCGCTGCTGTATAAAAGCGATTCTATGGAGGTATGTTTTAAGAACCAATATGTAGAAGGCATTAAGGATTCTGCAAACCTAACCCTCTGCAAACAAACAACTGAATTTGTTGTCGGGCATGATATTTAGTTTTGCACATCAGAAATTGTAGGCAGTGTTTCAGAAAAACAAACTTTCCTTTCATGCCCTGTCAAAATAGGCCCCTGCGCTCTGCATGTTGTTCTTCTCTCCCATTTTCAGGCTGTATGCATGGAGGGATCTTAAGGCTTTTATCCCCACAGGGAACCAGCCCGAACTCTTTCTCTGTCAATTTTCACCCACTCCCCAATTCAGACAAGCCTTTTCTCCCACCAACCCCACAATGAAGGATTTGTCCTCGTTCTCTTTGTCCACCTCTGATATCTTTTTTTGACTGCTCCCTCTCTGCAGACAGCATGCAGCGTATGCAAATACGCACTCTTTTATTCCTGAGTGAATGCAACCTTAAATGAGGACACACTTGCACACGTTTACGGGGGGGGGGGGGGGCATGGAAACATGCACATATTACAATCAGTGGATTTGCATGCCCTCTCTGACACGCAGCCATTTAAACATCGAACACTGGCAATTTTGAAATGAGCAGACAGAAATATATGCTTAACTGGTGCCACAGATGTTGTTACCTATATGCCTGTACATGCAGTTTATCCAGACAAATGGATAGCAGAAAAATATAACACAAGAACGGAGGCGTGGGCCACAGAGAATGGAGTCCGGCTGAAAAGACTTGAGCTATGTGTTAGTTGGGAAGCCTTTTTGTGTGGTTGATTTTATTTATAGAACTTGTGGAAGGAGACAAAGCTCTTTCTTTGCAATGTAAGAAGTTCTTTTATTTTCACCACAGCAATGGTATATTTGCTGTCTTATAAGCCCATAAGTCCACAGCGCACACACACACACACACACACAATGGGTGTTCAGATGTGTAGGATGAGGCTGAAAAATGAGACACAAGTGGTCCAACACAATAGCGGGTCTGCGCCGAGGAAGAGGTGTAGACTGGTAATGTGTGACTCTAAAGGCTGGATGAATTATAATGGTGTCTGATGAACATAAAGCGTTCTTTAGCAGCTTACATTCCCAAGCTGGCCCGTGCCATCTGTGAGTATGTGTGAATGGGTTAGAGTTAGAGTGTGTGTGTGTGTGTGTGTGTGTGTATGGTGGGGGGTTGACGTCTGCTGGACAGCTCTGACAGTTCGGCCTTTTCAGTCGTACATTACTGAGCCGGCCGGCCTCTTTCCCATAGCAACCCGAACAGAGGTCAAAGGCTATGTACCCCCCCATTCACCCAACCAACCACCACCACCTCCTCCTCCTCCTCCTCCTGTACTGCAGGGTGGCCACAGACTCTCTCAACACTCTCCGACTGGCCACAGTCAGAGCGGCTGCACCCATGAACTTGAACTTGTGTGATGGAGTCATATATCCATCTGATGCAAAAAAAAGCGACCTGAAGATGAACATACTCTGGACTTCTTCCTCCTTTTCACCCTTTAGCCTGGTATCAAATTTGCGTACTGTACCAGTAGAGTAAAAATAGAAAATTAAAAACGAGGTCACAATTCTCCTCACCCTAGAACCTCATCTCCTCCTGATATGATTACAAAGGGCCGCTGTATTAGAAGCTCAGTCACCTAATTCTCCTCTACTTTCATTGGAGCATACAGGACCCCTACTCAGGGACGCCACAGCCAACAGACGTAATCTGAAAAGCCTGGGATGTAGAAACTTCTCTCCATCTTCCTCTAAGATACTTAATGTCAGGCTTTGTGCTAGATTAGTCTCGGCCAAAGTTGCATTAAAAACCCCAGATGAGCCCCGCTTGACCCACTTTGGACCTCATCCAAGACTATGGGCGGCCCCTGAGCCGGGCTTTATAAATCACAGTCGAGCCGTTAAAACATTAATAGTGTCCACACATAGTGAGGAGAATCCGAAGAGGTAACCCAGGAGCTATATGGTATTAACATTTTATCGCTACTATGGCTACGCTGCTTCACCCACACAGAATTGGAAGTGGGCGCTGGCTACTGTCACTTCATCATGTCACACACTATAATTTCCTTGCACTGAAAATCCCACGTCGCAAAATCAAGACTATAAATGAATAAGAGGATTGAGAGACAATAGAAAGGAAAGTAATCATCGATATTCTGTCATTTTCTGATGGGGAGATACATGTTTTTCTGTCAGCTTTTAGTTAATGTACAAGAAGGAATTGAAGAGTTAATATTGAAGTCACTGTGTCGACAGTGTGCAGAGGAATATTCAGGGACGTTCACATCAGAAATCCTCCTGACACGGTGTCAGAGAAGCTGAGCTCACTGTTCAGCCGCTCTGGATTCTGACAGTCTTGATTGAAACCTCTGTTTTATTTCAGAGCAGATTAAAACCAGACGCAGTTTCACCCGAGACATCACACGCTATCAAAATCCAGACAAGCTCACCTCGACAGCATATTTTAATTCTGTGCCCTAACGCTCATTTTACCTCAAGTTGCATATTGCAATTAGTCAGAATTACTAATCATTAGATGAATAAATATTCTGTGTGCAGGTGTGTGTGTCACTCTATTTTTACATCCTAGAAATAGTGATTGCTCCTCTAGCAGGCATAGTAAGGACGAATACATTTTCCTGACAAATTTGCTTCAGTCACCGCCTCTCTTTGACCACGCCGTCTCTGTCGACTGCCGCAGCTATCACACACAGTTACAGACCGACCTTCCCCTTACTCTTTTCAAACACACACACACACACACACACACACACACACACACACACACCAGTCCTCATGCCCAGATCCTCGCAGGCTGCAAATTCTTTTAGCATGGCACTGCACAAGCTAACACAAGCCCAGCAGATGCAGAGGTAACACTGGTGGATCAAACATGGCTGCTACACCTGCCTCTGGTGCCTCCTTTACATACGCGGACACGTTTGTCTCTTTAACCCTTTCTTGATGAGCCAATCTTTAGTTTGACTTTACGAAAGCCACAATTCCCCCTCTATGCTCCTCTATTTTCTCTAACCTACCATGGAGATCTGCTACAGAGACGCAGCATGGAGCGAGCTACAGTATCTCCAAGATTAATTTCTCGCCTTCACCTTGCTTTCTTTCTCTCTTGCTTCTGTCAAATCTGCCCGAAGCAATGCGCTGTATATCACAGATGAGCAGCGCGAATGCAATTATAAAGACAGCTCGGAGTCTTTTATTTGAAGAGAGGGAATAATCTTTTGACACGTGGGCGGCACATGCCTTACATATTTTGTGGAGGCACATGTACAGTACGAGGCTCATTAATAATCATTATCCGCAGGTTACATCATTCAGCTTGTTAGGCACACCCATTCGCCTTAGCTGAGTCATTCTCGGGTGTCTTGTGAGATTTCTGTGATGTCTGTCCGTTTCCCCACCTGAGAGCGATGCAGATATGTGGATTCTGTTTGCAAGAAGGACAAAGCATATCCATCTGGTAAACTGAGCAAAGATAAAGGTGTGCACGGCTGATGACAGGCACAGATTCCCAATGTGAAAAAAACGTGAAAATGCACCTTTGTGGTGTTAAAACATCATTGCATTACACCTTTGATACAATGGCAAAGCGTGATCTACTGCGTGACAGGGTGCAGGCCTGAGCTTCTATATGCACGTCGTGTATGAATGCAGTGAGATCCTTCTGAAAACAGCATCTACATGCCTTTCAGACATGCAGAGGAGGCTGAATAGACTAATGAACAGTCAGGTGGCACTCCAGGGCCTAGACCACCAACCCCCATCACACACATATCAGACACACATACACTTGCTCACACATTAAAACTCAGCGGCTCGCCCGACCCCGGTGATCTGCACGACAGTCTAATGTCTCAGGCATCTGCTCATGTCTAGTCTGGAGGGTCTTTCCCACCCTGCCCCCCAGCCCAGGCCTGCCGCAGCACCAGCTCCCACAATGGTGGGAAAGCAGGCCTTTACGGAGGGCGGGGGGGGGGGAGATGGGGGACTAAACAGCTATTGAGAGGGGAGAGAGCGAGAGAGCGGGGCTGAATGATAATGTGAAAATGCACGGCGCTGTTCATTAACACACAGGCAGCACTGCAGCTGCACATGTTGGCCCTGGACACACATGCTCACGTGTCACTACTCTCTTTTCTGCTTCAGGTTGCTGCCAGAGCCACCGGGGTTACAGAGCAGCTCTACGCCATAACAAGGAGCATTCACAGGAGCTCTGTGTTTGTGTGTGTTGTGTGTGTGTGCGTGCGTGCGTGTGTGAGAGAGGTTACAGGGAAGGAAGTGGTAAAGATTTGGAGCTTTGATATTTGGCAGTCACTGTTGGTTTTGTCTTTTTGTTTTGTCAGATTTTGGAAAGATGTGACATTTTTTACATCAGTGATGTTTAACATTTTTAGTCTGTGCGTGTGTGTGTGGGTGTGTTTGTCAAATACACCTTCTTAACCATCTGTGCAGCGTTGTAGTAGCAGAGTTATGCTGCATTCATACTGAGAGTTGTAATCATGAAATGTTTAGGACTGAATGCTGAAGATAATATGAGATACAAAATATAACTGGTCTTTTAAGTCCATCAGAATGCCATTTGAAGCACTTCAAATGTTCTGAACGTCGCTATATAAATATTATACACTGCTAATAATCAGTGCTGATATCATTACAGATATAAGAACTGCTTTGTGAGCCAAAATATATTTGTTCATACAGTAAACTAAATCTAAAATTGTAATGGTTCTACCGATAAAAACAATAAAGCAATTCCCCAAATAGTAATTATCTGAGTATCGCCTCCTCTGCAAAATTCACCTGAGGGCTTTAGCACATTAAGACAGCTAAGATACTGTACGAAACATCATAATGTGAATCTCATAATAAAAGCAGCTTTGCATGAATTAATCCACGAGGTTTGTCGGGTGGAAACACAACGTACACCATTGCCTGGTTTGCATCAGGGAGTAAAGACGCACCATGACAAGAGAGGATGGCAGGTTTCCTTCAACCAGTGCCAGCTCATTAATTTTGTTTGCTACCCAGCACCCCCCCTCCCACCACCAACTACCACCACCCTTCCCTCAGCCACCGCCCCCCTCGAATCACCCTTTAACTGCTAATTAGCAGAAGCAGAAGATAGAAGAGAAAAGGGGGAGGCCATGTGTGACTGGGGAGGAAATGGGAAACTCGTCTTCTTTCCCTCGTCCTTCCCCCTGCCCCCATCCCCCATCAAACAACCACACACACTCCTGCCCACCACCATCATCACTGGTACCCAACAGAAAACCATGATGCTGCTCACCTCGTGTGCCAGCCCAGCCATTTTAGGTGTCGGCGGCAACGTCTCCCCAAGATGGCTCCTGTGAGCGCGCCCATACTCCGGGGATCTGGAAGGGTCTTTGTCCAATTGGCACGGGCAGAGTGTTTCCCCCCGTTGGCAGCACAGATGGCATTAGAGGCTCTTGGGCAAAAAGGGCGATGAGTGGGAGGGAGAGGGGAGAGGAGGAGGTGGCAATTCCGGACCAAGCATTTTTCCCGCCTCTCTCCTCGTTTTCTTTCAACGATGTCTCGACACTCTCTTCAGGGATCCCCGATCATTCAATGTCGTGAATCGGAAGCCTGTAAGAAGAGAAGATGGAAGAGAGAAAAGAGAGGAATAAAACAGGAAAAACACATTTTGCACTTTTAGTTATCAGTATAGCTAAACACAGCCAATGAACTAAACAAGGGCTACACTTTTTTTCTTTAAACCAGAAACACTGTTACACTGAGTTGTGGTTATTAAAACATTTAAATCTCTGGCCAGCTTTGCTCAATCAATGTCCAGTCCCCTTGTTGAGTTGTTGTGTGCGCATGAGTGTGTGCATTTTTGCTACAATAAAAGCACAAAAAGAATCATTTGAATTATACACATACGCAAGTTAAGACAAGAACGCCTTGGGCCATCCCGTAAATAAAGCCTCAAGTGTTTTTATTCCCTTTCATTAAGGAGGCGCGCCATGCTGACACGCCCTAACAGGAAAAAGCTCGGGAAAGGACTTGGACCACGGCTTTTTTCACATGTCCAATATCTCGCTGTGAAACGAAGCAATTAGCACGGTTTGACAGCAAGCTCTACTGCAATAGGTAGTTAAGAGGGTGAATGAAAACTCATCTCACTCTGGTGCTCTTTAGCCTTTAGTGGCATTCTCCGGGCTGAGCGTATGCGCTTGCACAGCGCTGAAGTACCAAGTTCAAAAACTCAGATCCTGTCTACGGGATAGCCTTGGCCTTCTCATTGAGGCAAGACACAATGTGTCCCAAAGGCCTTGAGATTAGCTACAGCTTTAAATGCAGACGCCAAGTGTCTTTTTTAACCCTGTGTGTGTAGGGTGCTACAGAAATCAACTGCATTATTAGCAGACGGAGACATTAGTGCCTGGATGAAGCAGTAATCTCCCTTTTCTAAATATATAATAAAATGGAAAATACTCTTCCAAAAGATTAAAGTAAATAAATAAAACAGTAAATGCAAAACATAAATCAAGAGTATCTGCTACGGTAAAATAAGAGCATTGACTATAGGGATGGCAGGGCACCCCACCAGTGTGTCCCTCCAGGGATCCCAGAGAGAAATCCTGGAGGACTTGAGCTTTCCTGATTTGTTTTTTTCACTTACTGCAGGTGAGCAGGAGGGATCAGATTAAACACTCTGAGGTGTGATAGGCCTTTTTTTTTTTTCTTCACAGAAGACACTTGTCACATGTCGCAGTCGGAAAAGCCCAGGCGAATATAATACAATTAAAGAAGGCTGAATTCCATTTAGCTGCTTCACTTTCAGGGTCTTGGTATTGTGCACGATGGCTCACTGTCATGACTTGCATAGAAATAGAACAGAGCCATTGTTAGTGTTATTGGTAACATGTGCTTTTCCTGCTATGACAAGTCAAAATGTTGCTGTGACAAAAAAACAAACCATATTGTGACCCAACATTACCTCCCTGTATATATTATTTGATTCGTTTTTTATCCACGGAATAAAAACCAAATTCTTGAAATGGAGAAAGTTTTGGAGTTCTTGCTTTAGTCCGTGCTGTTCCCCTCCACCGGAGCGAGCTGTTTAACATTCAGCACCATGTTGCAGAGGACCTGAATGGACAGCAACCCTAACCACCCTAAAACAAAACAGGACGCAGGGCCCTCAGTACAAAGAGCTCATATTGTGAATCCTCAAAATAAAGTGAAGTGAGATAGAAAAACATAACAAAACACTACATTAAACTCTGTAGTGAGAAGTGAGAAGCTGGGTTAAGTGCATTTGGTCTCAACATCAATTGTCTCAAAGATATTTTTGTTTTCCTTAAAGACCCTATCATAGGGTGCCTGACATAGGCTACAATTAACACCCAAACATTTTCTTCTGCAAAGAAAAAGCTCTGCAAACTTAAATGCCTATAAATCTGCCATATGCTATAAATGTGTACTTAATATAAAAGGAAATAAAAACTCACTTATTAAGCTATATGTACAAAAACGTATTTATTATATATATGTGTTGTAGCCATTTGGGATTATTTTATGCAATTGTTTTTTTTTTGTGTGTGTGCAAACTTTCAGAAAAAGCAAAACTATTTTCTTACCTTTTTGAGTGTGAAGCTTGAGGAGTCACCATCTCTTTCGGGAATGAACACAACGTTACGGAAGCCATTTCTACTTTCGGTTATCTAGCTTTATGACAGGTATTTAAAAAGCATACAGCTAGATAACCAAAGACAGAAACAGACCCCCTCTCACACTCTCGTGCTGAAGCCCGACATGATGCTGACGTGATCTAGAAGGAGGATGAAGAAGTATAGGCCTTTAATATTTAAAAACACATTTATAGTATTTTTTTTTTTTTTTTTTAATTACGGGACACTGAGAATAACAGCAGCATGACACGATGTGATAAGAGGAGATTGATCACATGTGTGAAACTAAAATATTTAAGCTAACACATATTGAGTTGGTTAAAGAAGCTCGCGCATCCAGACGACAAATATTCCTGTCATGATGTATAAAGTGTCTGGTTGAAGGCCTACTAAATAAATTTTACTTTACATTGTAGATATATTTGAAAAGCTTCCTTTAAAAACATGAAATGATTACTTTAATCTTTAGTAAGAAACTGAAATCGTTATTTAGCATTTATAGGATAGGTAAATATGTGTGTGGGAGGCCTATTGCATCAGCATGCCTTGCAATTAACACCCGACTATATTTCTATAACGAATCGGACGTAATATTCCAACACTGACAACGTGTGCAATGTTTATTCTAATAAAGATGTATAATACTATAGTTCAAACTGCCAAAAGACCAATGTGAAGTATACGAGCAAGTGACATTTCACTTGCTAAGTTGCATTCTATTTTTTTTTAATTGAAGGCAACATTAAGACTCACCTGCCATGTGATTTTACACAACTAATGGCATCTCAACACACACGGTGAACGAGTGGCGGACGGATATTTTACAACCTGACATATTGTTGTAAAATCAGATACAGGCTTTAGAACTTTGTGCATGTCAGTTGGTATGATATAAACCACATTTTCAGCCTATTTTGTGTCAGCGGATGATCATAAAAGGTCAGTGTGACCAAACTGGGCGGCCTGAAAAACATGTATACATTCCCATGAACCCGAGACAGTGTTAGGTATAAAGAAACATCCCTTTGATGCAGCAGACATGACGCTCCGAGATCAACAGCTGACCCCTTTTTGTTTAAAACTCTAAATGTGAATTGAGCTGGGCTTTAAGATGCTTTAATTCGCTCTGGGCTCTTATAGCGCTCCTAGGGGAGGGGGGGGCAACGAATCCCTACTTTTAATGAGAGTTGCGATTGGCCTACTTCTGCTAGAACTAGACTATTTCAAATCTCAAGGATTATCAGCATAAGCTATTACATAAACCAATTTATTACTGATCATAATAATAGACCAAGGAGCGTGGGGTAATATTCTGGCACTTCAAAGAACAAGGCTTTTTGTCTGTTAGGGACCAAAGTCGTAGCCTCATTTTAAATGAAACAAGGGCGTTTGTATAGTGGATAAAAAATATGTTACTTTACGTCAAAAAAAAAAACTAAAAGGCAAAGTTAACATGCATCTTATGTGTAGCCATATATGTATGCATCTTATGGCCATGGCAGGATAACAGATTCAAAGCAGGTGAAGTCGTACGTGTGAATACTGTGTATTTCCATAGACGCGTCTCTTACCTGTTTCAGAAGCAAAGCAGGCTCTGGAGAGAAATGTCCTCAACTTAAGGTCGTAACGAATTTTTCCAGATAGATTTTTTTTCTGCGTTTACATCGGGCCCTTGTAGAGAGTCAGCGCCGCCGCTCACAGGTGAGTTCGGTCGCATCCTCAGTCCTCCAGCTTCTGCCTCTCCTCCAGTCTGCGCGCTTCCTCTACTCGCACCCGCACTGACGTCATACCAGAACACGGACCAATCACAGAGCCCGCCGGCGCCAAAGAATGATCGAGTTCACGAGGACGTCTCACTCAAAAAGGTTTTCTCTTGCTTTTTGTTGATTTCTTCACCCACTACTACTACTACTACTACTACTACTAACCCTTACTAACTTTTCTGGAGCTTTTGATCCCATTCCCTGTTTTCCCAGTTATCATGATCATTTTAGATGTTGTACTGAGCACTCTGCTGAGAATTAAACATTCACCCTTGACCTTCGAAACAGCAGGTGACAAACCAGCATCACACCAAGGTCCATTTAGTAGCTATTTTAGGGGCTTTTGATCATTTCACATTATTTTTGGGCTTATTAGCAGTAAGCTACACATTTCTTAATATAATAGGTCTCAAATCAGGCCAGATTGAGATGTATAAAAAAAGCAAACAGATGGTTTCAACATAATTTCAAAGGTAGAGGCTATTTTTTTACAGTATCACAGACTATGTGAGAACCCGGCTCCATGCCACTGCAGCTCTCATATGTTAGTTATTCATTGCGCTCCCTTTCTCAGAAATACAATTCCACATATCTCCTGATTTACATTAGCAAGCGAATGGTCCTAACGTTTCTCCACTGCCATGTTAGACACACAGTTGAAACAAGATTAGCAACACCGTGGGCAGCACTGCCATTGTGGCTCAAGACAGAATAGGCCGACACACTTTTTGTGGCAGGCAAATTGTTCTACCTACGGGTTCATATTTGTATTTCATCACTAGAAGTTACTATGGCCTTGGCATAGCGTACCAGTACGCTTATATAGAGTGAGCACACTGAGTTAAATTGCCCGCCCTACAGTGTGTACGCTGCTGACAGGGTTACACAGGCTGGAAGCAGGAGTGAGCATTCTTGATCAATAGAAGATCTTTGAGGTCTGAGCCGTTTGTGTGTGGAGCTCAAGGGCCACGGCCAAGAACACTGGTATGAACAGTTCCCTCCAAATCTGTACGGTCAGGATTTTAGTCCGTGTAACCTACACTGGGACTAAATGAAAATACATTAGAGTCATTCCCATTATGTCTATTAGACAATTTTTTAAAGCAAATATTGGCAGAATGTAAGATGCAATACTAGGTTGGTGACTTCGTTGAATGTAAATTGGGCGAACAGAGCTGATTTGATCTTTTACTTATACAGTATAGTCTGAATGCTTTTTGAAGCTCCCACTGCATTCCAGTTTAGGGACAGACAGCAATACTCAAATTTATTCTTAAAATAAATGGTTTGACCATTAAGCAGAAATATTTTGCAGAGGTATAAGAATTGTATAGCTCACCATGGTTAGTAAATAACCAATTTCACCCCAGATTATGTTTGGAATCACAGAGAAATGACAAATACATTTGAGTTAGATTGTAATCTGCAGTTTGTCCTGCACACAAATCAATCAATTTCTCATTGAGGAAAAAAAAATACTACAATACAAAAACTTTTCTACCAACTGGTCTCTCTAAGATTTTAAGTTATGTTTGAATCATATATTTTTTCTCTGTGTGCTTCCTATTCTTTTGCTCATTTATTCATCATGTGGTGCATTCAAGCATACATCACAACACCTACAACAGATCACAACTGTCAACGTTTTCATTAAACTTGAATGGGCTTTTTTTTTTCACGTAGGCCTATAATTAATTCTTATGGTAAGGTGCTAGCATTTCCTGTTGAAACTTTTGGAAGTAGGGTGTAACAATTTCAATCAAACAGTGGAGCGTGTGCCATTCAATCAATGCATTCTATACCCCATTTCCTTAAATAAAGCACATTTAGGGGTCTTTGTGTTTTATATAGCAGACGTTTGCTAAAAGCAGGACATATCATCTGCACATCACAATCTAGAAACACGGCTTGTCCTACGAGCTGCTTAAAAACGAAATGCTTTTTAATTCTTCCATGATAAATGCATCTGCAGATATTCAACCAACGACAGTAGGGATACATTTAAATGCACTTATCTTTTATTGACATAATAGCCAGACTGATCCATGGGCAACATGTGAAGTGAACAGTCAGCAGCATAAGGCATGCACGAGGCATACGGCCATTCAAGTAGATGCAGTTTGTGGGAACTTTGGAGATGAGGCAGCTCTCATCTATCTCCGTCTCTCTCTCACGCACACGCACACACACACACGCACGCACACAGCAGAGCGGCTGAGGTAATCTTCATAGTATTCCGAAGATGATGTCTGGCTGGAAGAGGATAAATGATGAGTGGGTTTATGTTCAATTTGAATACACACTGACATGTTAACAGGACAGTGCTAAATGCTGCAGTCAGTCACTCACACGCTGCAGGAGGTGCTGCCCCGAGAAAGAGCGGATGTCTGCAGGCTGGCCATCCTCTCCCACTGCCTTGCAGCGAAGGTACCCATAGAGATTAGCCACTTGGAGGGAAATGCTAGCAACCACAAGTGACTGGGGAAGACACACAGATGATGCATCTAAGAAGGATGTATATAATCACAATGCGCCTCTACAGAGCATGCACGCAAGCACCATGTGTCTCACCAGCCATTTAATCTTCAGGGAGAAGAGGGAGGTGAAGAAGAAGAATGTCCATATGAGAGGACAGATGATGAGACCCAGCCAAAATATCCTCGCCTCTGCCTCTGTCCCATTGTTATTGCCCAGGGAGGCCTGCACACACACACGCACACACACACACACACACACACACACACAGCAATGCCCAAATGTTTATTACCCCCAAAAATGCTCCCCCACACTCAAAATAACACACAATGTCTTACTTTTTTAGCCTCAAACACCCAGAGGCTCTTTCCATCCTCGTCGATCTGATTCCACCAACGCAGGCCAACCAGCAGCCTGCCGGTCACATTCTGAAACACAGGACAAACGTGAGTAATCACAACTAGTGAGGTGAAACAAAAAGGATTAAATGGTGCTGAAGTTCATAAGAGGGCGAGAAAGGGGCAAGGGCATAGGGAAGTAAGGGGAATTAGCAGCTGACTTAGTTGACCTCTCACCTTGACAGACCAGAAGTCAAAAGAGAGCAGAGTGATGATCAGGACAAAACACCATGCAAAGTTCTCGCTGATCCAGTCACAGAGCAAATAGGCGACAATGGCAACCACCCGGAAGAACAGGTGGAAAAAGGAGGCGAGGGGGTGTCTGCATTTAAAAGCACAGGATTAGAAATGACCAAGAGCCTGAAAATACCATTAAAGCATGTACAATTAAAGCAAGCAGACAACTTTGTTGTCGGCTACAGCATATCTACACTTCTCAGCACAGAGGCGAGGAGACTCACTCTGAATCATAGGCTAACAGAAAAAAATAGTCACATATAAACGCCTGTGAGAGAGCATAATTCGTCCAATTAAAGTTGCTGAGGTTTTATTTAAATTACACTAATTTTAGCAAGGTTGGAAACACTCTCTCAAACGACATCCCTGCTGATATTATATTTACAAAAGCACAATATTCTGTGCAAGACAGATTTTGTTGATACAATAACAATCTCCTGCAGTGCACCTTATCACTGCGCTTCTCCGCGCGCTCTCCTGCTCGTCAGCAGCAAAGTCCAGCTCAACATCCTCCGTGTCATCCGCCATCGTCTGAGGAAGCAATGACAAAACACAACAGGATTAAATCATCCAACATCATCCTAGCTGATACGACGCAGACGAACACAATACATTTAGAGGCAGACAGAAACCCATTGGTACCACGGTGATACCCATTGCTGTCAATGTCGTAGATGTGTAAAGCAAAGCGAAGTACCATTTGGGGTAAAGCGTAGCTGTATTATAGGGATGGAATAAACCAGGTGTTGCAGTGAAATAAGACCGACACCGACGCTGCCTCCTCTGTCACTAAATGCACCATCACATCAGGAAGCTGGGTTTAAATTTATTTTAAGGTTAAGAGGACTCCCTTAATGTAACGTGACGAAAATGGCCATTACAGCAAAGGCAGTGATTGTTTTGATAGCATATCTGTATTTTTTTCAAATTCGGAAATCACAATCTACATCAAAAGGAATAAAAGTGCGACCGCGGCAGGACTCGAACCTGCAATCTTCTGATCCGAAGTCAGACGCCTTATCCATTAGGCCACGCGGCCTCGCTGTGGTGTGTAGGACAAGATATATATATGTATCTTCCATATTCTCGAATATGTATTAAATACTGTTATATATTTTACTTATTTAATACTTGTGCATGATCCCTTTTTGCATTTTCTAGAAACAACTGTGGTGTGTTCATCCAATCATTTGTTTGTATTCCTAAAAAACGATTACGTATAGTCATCCGGGCCGCGTGGGGTCACTAACGCTTCGTCTTGCTTTGGTTTCACGTCCTCGTGCATTGTGCATGCTAAATAACAAACTAGTTTGTTGTGGAGCAATTTGAGACATATTGTGGTTGATAACTTTGACGTTATACCTCAAGGCACAGATCGGGTGAGGTGTATTTTTTGCTTGTATCGACAGTATAGCTAACACATTTAGTGAGTGCAGAATTAAACGGCTATTATTTTTGTTTGGTTGCTCACAGAATAGCAACACTCCCCTTCAATTAATAGTAAACATGCGTTATCAGGTTCGTGATAACCTTGGCTTAGACTGAAATAAGCAAACTAAATAAGGTGTGTGCGCAACTTAACGCTACCTAACCTAACGTTTAGTCCAGAGTCAACTTATTTCTAGCGTTAATGTTAAAGTTGGGTGATAACTTTTTGAGTAAGTTAGCTCTATCTGAGTGAAAGATCTGAAGCTGTGTTCTTTGACCAATAACATTTCCGCCATTGAACAATATTGCACTTGCAAAATCACACATAGGATAAAATCAAACATTTTATTATCTGTATCTATAATCCATCTAGTAGCTAGATATAGCTGTGTCTAGTCCCGGTTTGTGCCTCAAACTGGGGCAAAGCTGCATCATGTCCTAAAATATGAATGTTGTCCCAATGTCTTCCAGCTCCAGTGTGAAGTCCTCATGAGGTGATGCTGCATGTGTTGCGCTGTCCTCTGCGGAGGACTCTCATCTCTCTACAATGGAGGTGTCCACGCGCCCTCTACTCCACCAAGCCAGACTCTCTTCAGGGCGAGGACTCCACAGAGACCCGCCTGAACCCCCTTAACATTCAGATGCTGTCAAGGAACCTCCACGACCAGATCTTTCGAGGGCTGCAACCAGAGTACAGAGAGGATGATGTGGAGCGTAGCACTAGGCACCTGCAGAAACATCAGCTGTGGGGGAAGGAAACTTCACTGTTGCCCGAAGTGGAGCTGAAGCTTCCCCAAATGTATGGCAAGAATATTGACCAGCACTTCCGTATCTTGGCCCAGAAGCAGAGTCTTCCCTACCTTGAGGCTGCCACCAAGCTGCAGCTGGCTGATCTCCCTCCCATGCCGCAGGAATGGAGCTGGGAGGTTGGATGGACACGCTATGGGCCCAACGGGGAGAGTCAGAAGGTTGATTTCCCAGAGGAGTCGGCACTGGTGTTCGATGTGGAGGTGTGCGTTACGGAGGGACGGTGTCCCACACTGGCTGCTGCTGTGTCTCCCACTAACTGGTGAGGAACAAGCAAGGAATATAAAGATCGTGCAAAGGGGAGAAATGTGGGTGTGGGTGTAAATGGGCCAATAGTTACATTATAATTTTCCCAATGAGTATGCTTTTCTTCCATTCCAGGTACTCCTGGTGCAGTAAGCGCCTAATAGAAGAGAGGTACTCCTGGTCAAACCAGCTGACCCTCGCTGACCTCATCCCCTTGGAGACGCTGATCAACTCTGCCCGCCCACCAGGGGGCCAGTGGAAGGAGAGGCTCATTGTCGGCCATAATGTCAGTTTTGACCGATCTTACATTAAGGAGCAATACTTACTAAAGGTCAGTATTCAGAGGGTGGTGTGTTTCCTTGCTCAGTACCAACTTAGCTTTCTAGCCCCATGTCCCTTTTTTCCTTTCTGTTTGCATCTTTATTGTATGATTTTTACGAGTCACATGAGTAAATGCACCAAGTAGCATGTACCTGTTTTCTTCCCTAAAGGGTTCTAAGGTACGCTTCATGGACACAATGAGCCTTCACATGGCCATCTCTGGGCTGACCGGGTTCCAGCGCACACTTTGGATGGCCAACAAGCTGGGCAAAAGGAGAGGTCTTCAGGAGATCAAGGACCACATTAAAAAAGCTGGACAGAAAAGGGAGGGTCCAATGGTTTGTGTCCACCACATTTCAGCTACAACATGCATTATTTGTGGTAATGTTGCAGTGTATCCTTTGTCGAAAGTGTCAGGATCTGGCTTTTGTCATCAGCAAAACTCAACGTGACATTTCTGTGTGTAGATCGGCTCCTGGGACTGGGTTAATATTAGCAGCATTAATAACCTGGCTGATGTCCATGCCCTGTACGTGGGAGGGCCGCCACTGCAGAAAGAGGCCAGAGAGACGTTTGTGAAGGGCAGCATGATGGATGTCCGGAACAACTTCCAGGTCAGGTGTTCATGACAAATCTTGCTTCAAATTGTCTGTCATCATAGGCCAAATTTATTTATAGACGGTATGTTAAAGTCTCCCAAATGACTTGCGTTCATCATGAAGTACTGACGAATGCATATGGCTTTGCTGACCTCTTCAGGAGTTAATGCAGTACTGCGCCATGGACGTCGAAGCCACACATCAAGTCTTCACAGAACAGCTTCCGCTCTTCATAGAGAGGTCAGTTCATCCCAACCCACGGACACTTTCTATTTCCTTTTATATTGATTTTCTAGCCAGTATGACATTGCTTCGTACACAATGCCGCATAATGAGTCCATCTCCTTTATCTTTAACAAGGTGCCCTCATCCAGTGACGTTTGCAGGAATGCTGGAGATGGGCGTGAGCTACCTTCCCGTCAATCAAAACTGGGGGCGTTACCTGGAAGATTCTCAGGACGTCTACGAAGAGCTCCAGAGAGAGATGAAGAAGTCTCTGATGACTCTAGCGGACGATGCCTGCCAGCTGCTGCAGGACGACAGGTGAGAAGAGCACCTATTCATCACCATGTCTCTCACTGCAGCGCATTATTTCATTCTGATCTTAAGTGTGTGATGAGTGAAAAGCATTATAGATTCATGCATAATCTGTAGTTCCATAACTTCTAAGGGCCAGGTGCTTTAAAGTGCTTTGTATAAAAACATCCACATTGTACATCAATGGACTTGGGTTTTATGTTCTTATTTTCTTAAGGTACAAAGATGACCCCTGGCTTTGGGATCTTGAGTGGGATGTGCAGGAGTTTAAACTGAAGAAAGTAGCAGCCAGCAAGAAGAAAAAAGCAGTCGAAACAAAAGTTGCTACTCCTCTTCCAGACTGGGATGAAGGTATATCCAGAGCCACATTTACAAAGCAAATGTTATAATCTGCAAAAGAGGTAAAAGATAACAGAGATGAAGTTGAGTTTGAGTTCTTGTGATGTTAGACCCAGGTCCACCCTCTGAAGAGGAGATGGCAGGCCCTTACCCCAGCAGGCTGGCTGTGGAGAAGCTGAAGGAAACAGTGAGTCGACTTCCTAAAAGAAGGCAACATCTGCCTGGACATCCAGGGTAAGTAAGGTCACTCCCAAGCACAGCTAAGCCATCTAATAATCATTATCTTAGTCAGTCAGTCCTTCACCCTCCCTTATTGTGTCCTTCAGGTGGTATCGTAAGCTCTGTGAGAAGATGTCTGAGGAGGACAGCTGGTCACCTGGAGCCAACCTCATCAGTCTACAGATGAGAGTAACTCCTAAGCTGATGGGTCTGACGTGGGACGGTTTCCCCCTGCATTACTCAGAGAAACATGGGTGGGGCTACCTGGTTCCTGGACGCAGAGACAACCTGGTACCTGAGGAGGAGAGCACAGGGCCCGTGTGCCCACACAGGTACTTAATACAGTGTGCTTGAGTCATCAAAACAAGATTGTCACGACGTAGGATGTGTTTGTTTCAGCATTGTTCTGTCCTGTCCCACAGAGCTATCGCGAGTGTTTACAGAGAGTATTGTGAGCAGAACAGCAAAGTGCGGCCTGAATATCTGGACTGCAACCCTTCAGATGACCTCATGTGGACGGACAGCACAGTGTGGGCAAAGGTGCGTACGCTCATAATGTAATTTACCTCATTCTTGGAAGTGTTTACAAGAAACCGACCTTTTCATTGGTGTTTAACTAGTGCTGCTTCGGATCATTGATCAGGCCCAGCGGCTCTGGAATGATAACATATATCATGATATGGTTGTGTGTTTCTTGACCTCATCTTAAGGTGGAGGAGTTTGGGTCCTTGGAGAGTCTGACAGAGGAAAATGGAGTCAGAATGATGAGAAATGGGGAGAGTAAGAAAAACAGGGTGAGTGAAATGGTCACTGTCATTTACAGGTGCTTTATGACTTTGTAACATGAACTCTTTTAGTACTGTATTGCAGTTCAAAGTTCTACATTTGAATTCCTATGATAGCCTCGTTTAATATGGAACAGCACTATGCGGTCTAACATGCAGCGTGTTGTGGTTCATTCTGCATGCTTTTTGTTTCGCTGTGCTGAAATTGAACATTAGTTATTGTGGTTTGTTGTATGATATAGTTTGCATTCTGTATCAACAACAGTCTCAAGATCCACATTATGCCCCAGAGGAGAGTCGCTGCCATTATCACCATGGGAATGGTCCCTACAACGATGTCGATATCCCAGGGTGCTGGTTTTTCAAATTACCTCATAAGGTGAAGTTTCACTGTTCACCCCAAGAGCATCCTGAATAACCATCATTGGCACATTGTCACTTCATTGAATTGCTGTCATGGTCTCACTGAATGTGTGTGTTTCAGGACGGTAATCACAACAATGTTGGCAGCCCCTTTTCAAAAGACTTCCTGTCCAAGATGGAGGATGGTACTCTCAGGGCTGGACATGGTGGAACCAACGCTACACGAGCTCTGGAGATCAACAAAATGGTGTCATTCTGGAGGAATGCCCATAAACGCATAAGGTACCTCTCAGTTTCCACCATAGTTATTTGTCCGTTTGTCATAAAGATGGTGAATACAGGATTTCTCACCGTGTTTCTGTAGCTCTCAGATGGTGCTGTGGCTGAGAAAGGAAGAGCTTCCTTGTATTGTCAGCAGGTTTGTCTGGAATACCAATAGCTATCCTCCATTTATTCACCAGCTATTCATCGTTGCTGTTTATTTTAACAACCTTTCTGTCTCCCCAAAGACACAAAGAGTTTGATGAAGAGGGCCAGTATGGTGCCATATTACCTCAAGTCGTCACCGCTGGAACGGTAACACGCAGGGCTGTGGAGCCAACGTGGCTGACTGCCAGTAATGCGCGGGTAAGAAGCAGAGCCCACAAAGAGGAACGCAAGTCTGAGCGTAGCGTTTGAGAGAAATGTTGTTTGTATGAACCGTTTGTTTTTTGTTGTGTCCATAGCGGGACCGGGTAGGCAGTGAGCTGAAGGCCATGGTGCAGGTTCCACCTGGATATCACCTGGTGGGAGCAGATGTTGACTCTCAAGAGTTGTGGATTGCTGCTGTGCTTGGAGAGGCTCACTTTGCTGGCATGCATGGTGAGATCTATCCCTATTTGATGTCTTGTCTAGTTCGTACTTTAACTGCATGTTATTAAAGTTGTAGAAGGCAATTCATCTTTTTTAAAATCTGTTCTAGTTTCAACAAGCAGCACCTGATGTTATCGGTGTTCATCTTATGTCTCTGCTGGGTTCAGGTTGTACGGCGTTTGGCTGGATGACCCTTCAGGGAAAGAAGAGTCAGGGCACTGACCTGCACAGCCGCACCGCTGACACTGTGGGCATCAGCCGAGAGCATGCCAAGGTGTTCAACTATGGACGCATTTATGGTGCGGGACAACCCTTTGCTGAGAGGCTGCTATTGCAGTTCAACCACCGCCTCGGTCAGGAAGAAGCTGCCAGTAAGGCCAAGCAGATGTACGCCTTGACTAAGGGCATACGCAGGTACGCTCAGTAGTTGTGTGGTCGTGTTAGTCGTTTGTGGAAAGGTGATTAAGTCAAGCTCTAGTGCTACACGTTTGTTTTTTGTACATTTCATCAGATACCAGTTGTCAGAGGAGGGTGAGTGGCTGGTCAATGAACTGGATATAGAGGTGGAGAAGGAAGAAGATGGAAGTGTCACGCTGCAGGAGTTGCGGAGGATCACTAGACTGGCCTCACAGAGGTGAGGGAGCAAGTACAACATCACATGGACGTCTACAAGGACTTTTAGTGTCACAATATATTCTCCCATGCCGCCTCAGTTCCTTCATTTCCCTCCTTTATACCCCTCAGCTCGCGGCGGAAGAGGTGGAATATTGTCGACAAACGTCTGTGGGCTGGAGGTACGGAGTCAGACATGTTCAACAAGCTGGAGAGCGTTGCTCATTCGGCCCAGCCGGCCACTCCCGTTCTAGGCTGCAGGATTAGCAGAGCGCTGGAGCCCATGGCAGTTAAGAATGAGGTGAGGCATACATCTAACCGACATGGTGGTTTTCAACCAGCATGAACAGCCAAAAGCCTTTGTTCCCCCCCAATAGTATAATTTTGGTGATTGGTTGTAAGAGATGTTTATTTACTGTTCCTAGCCAAATGTCACCGAGTCTTAAAATCTGACCATAAAAACTGTTTTTAAGAAGAAATGTTTTGCATGGAAATGGCTGTTTCCCCCCCCCAAAAAATGAATTGCATACACATTTCTCAAAAGCCCCAACAGGATAAGGTTCAAATTACGATGGTTCTATATTTTCTTTGTCAGTTCATCACGAGCAGAGTGAACTGGGTGGTCCAGAGCTCTGCAGTGGACTACCTACACCTGATGCTGGTGGCCATGAAGTGGCTCTTCGAGGAGCACGACATCGACGGCCGTTTCTGCATCAGCATCCACGATGAGGTGCGGTACCTCGTCGGCAGCGAAGACCGTTACCGAGCAGCGCTGGCACTTCAGATCACGAACCTGCTTACGAGGTCTGCTCGCTGCTTCGCATTTTTATTCTTCCCCGTCAGAACTTCTACTACGGAATAGGCTAGTAAACTGCAGCTTTTTTACTGAGTGGTGAGCTTGTGTCTCCTGCAGGAGTGTGTTCGCCCATGCGTTAGGCTTGCAGGACCTTCCCCAGTCAGTAGCTTTCTTCAGTGCCGTTGACATTGACCAGTGTCTGAGGAAGGAGGTCACCATGGACTGTGTGACGCCCTCCAACCCCACAGGTCTGGAAAGACGATACAACCTACCACCCGGTGAGTCCTGCACACTATCGGCAGCCTAATTCTTCTATATAGAGGGTTATACTATTTGTATTTCTCATGTAGATATTAATTTAAGAGAATTAATTACAAATTAGAGCACATGAACATTTCAACAGCTCAACTCCTGATACCTGCCAGCCTTAAAAGAAAACTAAATAAATAGAATAAGAAAGAAAATATTCATTTTAAAACAAAAACCAGCACTTGACACAAAGCATTTATGTAACCATATATCCACCTCTTTCCCTTGTGAATTAAATAACTGATAAAGTAGGGCCATCTTTAGCATTACTATATGTAGTTATAACTCTACTATCTTTAATGTGGCTGCTGGAAGCTGCTACAATTAACATGTTTAGAAATACGTGTGGTACTAAATAAAGTGAACTCTAGGAACAAACGTTGTGCAAACTTTCCACAGGTGAGGCATTGGACATGTACCAACTCCTCGACATCACGAAAGGCTCTCTGAACAAAGGAAGATAGTTCAATTCAGAGCAGCAGTTCAAACACACACACACAACTGCCAGGAGGCTGTTTAACAGCAGGTCAAGTTCAAGATCCGTGGAGAATCTGGAGACGCGTGATTCACACGAAGTGAGTCTTGGCTCACTGTTTTCTCTTCTTCTGATGGGGTTCATGGGTCTCCGCTGCCTCCTGTGACTCGTTGGTCTGAAAGGATCGAAAGAAGAAACGGACTATAAGATCTCAGCAAGCAGAGTGTGTTCAACACATCACACGTGGGGAAACGGGAACATTCTGCTTTACTGACTGTGATCGGGTAAAGGAATGTGTGAGGAAAGACAGAGAGCTGCTCGTTACAGTATGAGATTGCATTCACCTCCTGACTGTCATCCTGCTCTTGCAGGGCTGCGTCCAGAGTAGCACGGTTGATGCGGAAATCTCTCGAGGTGCTCAGCTTCATGTACTGCATCAGGTTAACCTGGACAGACACACAGGTGTTGGTGAAACACTGTTGTACGAGTGGCCTAACCGTTAACGCAGCACTACAGGTGTTTAGCGAGCTTTGTGCAATGGCTCTCTTTATTGTATTTTGTCAACTACCTCAAGCAATCTAGTTCACACATACCTTTGATTTCTTTGAGAGTGTGATGAGGTATTTTTCATACTGCTCAATACTGAAGATCACGTTAGGGACGGCTTTCGTCTCACGCAGAAGCTTTGCCTTCAAAGACAATAAAAACGGATTTAAATTCTGACTGGATTCATTCAGAATCGGATTTGTTTGAGGCGCAATAGTTTATATTTGTACGATGTATCTATACATGGTTATTGGTATATTATAGAATGTGTAAATGATTAACAGTAATAGAATGAAAAACCTTACAGAGCCAGCAGTGTTCCCGTCATTTCTTTTCTTTTTCTTCTTGTCATCTCCACCACTGAATTCTCCACTCTAATAAAGAAAACAATGTTTTCAAAGTCCTTCGTGAAGCTGACGTTGCCGTAAACCATAACTGAAGAACTCCAGCGCGATCATAACGACAGATTATCGTTTGTCTGAAAACCTGAAGCTTTGCCGGGGGGAGGGCTAATATACAATAGTGCTTTACCTGTGCGTGTGTGATGAAGGAGTAGCACTGCGGCGTTAGGTGGGAGCCCGACAGCTTGACCTGCACAGGAAAAAAAACACCTTGATTAGCATGACATCGGAAGATTCAAACAAGAGAAACAACACAGACTCACCAGCTTCTCAAAGCGGGCCGGCAGTGCACCGTGCTGGCTGGTGCACACCTGGATGTACTAAAACGACACATGGAGGAAAGAAATGAATGTTGCACTGGAAAAAAAAACAACAACTTTCCATTCAGTCAAGAGATCATAGAGGGGACACAATGCGTACATATTTGACCAGCGTGGTGAGGGTGGTGTACGTGCGACTCAGTTCTCTCAGCAGTGTGATGGTGCAGGTGCCCGGCAGCAGCGCCGTCTGGACCAGCTCATTCAAAGCCGTCAAAAGAGTCCCGAGCTGCAGCGTCAGTGCCTTCTCTATTGGATCCTGCTGGCCTGCAGTCTGGGTGGCCTCGCCTACGCGCCAAGAATACACCGTCACAGAAGTTTTATTACACATTCCCTCGCCCAGGTGCATCCCTTTCCCTTGTCTCTCCCCTCCCCCCCCAAACTCTCACCTTTAATCCAACTGAGCATCAGTGTGAAAAGGCTTCTTACCAGAACCCGATCTGTCAGAGGATGTCTGGCTTTTCTTCCTGGCGATCAGCCAGTCCACTTCATCAAGCACTCTGTCAACCAGAGACAGGACCAGCAGCTGGGGGCAAGAGATTCAAAATGATGAAGATGGGGGGGGGGGGCCACACTGCGCAAAACAGATTCTGAGATATTGATGACAGGCCGACACTCACCGCTCCTGTGGTCGCAGTCTTGATGTTGACGATGGCAAAGTGAGACTGTTTTTCCACCTCCACATTCTGACCATACAGAAAGAATACAAAGTGACATGTTCATTTTTGACCCAGGTACCAGGAGGCCCCTGCAACATAGTGTAGAATGTAAAAAAGGTACAATAGCAAAACAGTGATTTAGATATGTTGCCCAATTTGCCAAAATGTAATGGCTATAAAGTTATAAATGATAGTGCTCTGTCATTGTACCGGATCGATATCTCCCAGTTGGCTGTGGATGTCTTGGCACAGTTCCAGCAACAGGCTGACAGGACTCTTATAGAGAACATGCAGGTTGAAGAGAAGCGAGAGCAGGCTCTTGGAGAAAGCAGAGTCCTCTAAATGAGAGAAACAAACAGATCTCAGAACACACCGTACTGTGCGTAGACACAAAGATTAAGTAAACGGTCGCTCACCGAAACTGGTCTCCTTGCAGATTTTCACAGTCCACCTGATCATCTGCACAAACTGTAGATGAAGACGCGCGTTAGTGGAACAGGTGCTAACTTGTGCTGTTGTGTGAGGTGCATTTAAGAGTACAGCTACCTGCTGGGAGGAGGGCTTTAGCTGGCGTGAAAGCACACTCAAGATGCTGACCAGCAGCTGAGCCTCTTTGCTGTTAAACTCTTCCTCGCCTCCACTTAGCTGTGTGAACAGTGCCCTCTGTTGACGGGCAAAGAAAATGAACAGTGCTCAGTACATTTGTCTGGAAAACAAACCAAGTTGGTTAGTTTCTGACATATTAAATGGCTCCTGGTACACCATTCTGTGAAGTGTTTAAAGCCAGGCTTCTCAAACGGATAGTAGTGACTTACAGTTTCACACCAGAAAATAAATGTTTGGAAGTAACATTTGAAAATACGCAGAGAATAACCAAATTAATTCTGTATCGGTGCACCTGAAACTGTCTGATGTAAAAGAAGTTCATCTCTGTAACGTTGCCATCGTCTGGCTCCGCATCGTCCTCCGAGATGTCTGCGAGAAACACAAAATGTGAGGGCGTACTGTTCAGACTCGCTGCTTCTACTGTTTGTTTTTTACTGTGCGTGTCTAACCCATGGTGGAGAGGAGCTGGGCCATCCTGTCTGGATAGCGCTGCTGACAAGTGGTGAAGATCCTGAGCAGACCTTCCAGGCACAGCAGGGACAAGCTGGAGCGCTTCTCCTTCTTCCCCGCGTCCTCCACCACACTGGGGATGTTGGTGTAACGCCACATCAGCACACTGGATTACGCAAGGACAGATCTCTCCGTCAGTCAAACAATGTCATAGACAACAAAACCATACACACGGTTCTACCTAGACGCCGTTATTTAGGCTAAGGGGTTTCGACCTTGTCATGTCACAGAGGAAGCGGAAAGTTCTGTCTGCGTTCTGTCCGTCTGGTCCGTCTGTGTGTCCGGTTTCCTCCAGCTGCTGGATCTTCTGCACAGCCACAGTTACTGCGTAGCGCACAAATTCTCCACTTGAGCGAAGCACTGAGAGCGCCTCCTCTCTGCTCTGAGTACTGTCCCTGAAACAAAAGAAATGCATTCTTTGTTATTTTCTGCAAGCAATCCAGTCATGTTTCATTCTAGAAATTATTTTTAATGTTTTAGTGTTGCCAATACTACCCATGATTCAGTGCACATTCAATAACATGGTATTTCTAACTTTTGACTTTTCAAGTTTATTTGTAATTGTTTTTGATAAACGCTATACAAGGTGTTAAATCCATGTAATAAAACGAGTGTTTTCCCTGATTAATACAATATTTATAAAAGCTGTTTTCCAGATGTACTGTATATATTGTGATCTGTATACTCAGACAGAGCCAGTAGGTGTAACAGTAATCCATATAAACATTTACCTGAAGAGCACAGTGAGGAGAGTCGAAATGAAGCCCGAAGACAGTAAACTGCGAGGACTCTTGTTTGAAGGCACTCGACCCTTTCCAGATTTCTCCTTCAGGATCTCGGACAGTTTGTGGTAGCGGTTAAACAGCTCCACGAGCTCCTGAAAGCAGCTTTTACTGCGACACACAAATCGTCACTTTAACCACAAATAAAGCTACACGAGGTCTTGACCATACAAAGAGAAGTGGTTGTTACCTGTAGTTGGCTTGGATGAAGTTGTACTCCATAAGGATCTCATACACTCCCATCACCAGCACAGCATAGATGTTATTCTTAACCCCAACACTGGATGCTGTGGAGAACTCCGCTGACTTGTCCTGATCAACACACAGACAGTACACGGCTTAAGACGATGCTTTCAGTGGAAAAACATTATCGGGCCGAGCATAGAAGATGTACCTGATATACAATTCAAGAAAATGTTCAGCAGTTCATTCTTTTAAGGAGAAGTGCTTATTTGCTTCCTGCTTGCAAATCTCATTAGGAGTCCCATATTTTCTTTAACCAGACATTTGTATTAGAATTACAAACTTAAAGTCTTGTCATACTGGGACACATAACTAAACCAATAAAGTGTATGGGAGAGTTACTCCTGCTGTTAACCAGAAGGTGGGAGAGTTAAAGACCTTTCAACCCCATGCAATCTGGTTCAGTGTATGCTGTGTACTTGTCTTGAATGCATACCAGCTCAAAGTCCTCCAGTTCACTCTTGATCATGCGTCTTGTCATGCTCTCTAGGATTGTCTGTAGTTCAGACTGGTATCCCTCCCCTTCATCATCATCATCCTCCTCACCGCTGTCGTCAGCGTTGGGGTTGGCCGATCGCCGCATGTTCTGCAGCCACAGCAGGCAATGTACAGTACAGCTCACCAGATGGGCCTGAAGTGGAACAAACGCTATTTCGATTAAAACGTTATCACAGCAAAAAAAAAAAAAAAAAGTCACAAAAGTGGTACAATGCAGACAGAGTACCAGAGGCTCCTGGAGGTAGACTTGGTCTCCGAGAGCGGTGATGCTCGGTTCCAGTTTCACCGGGGGCAGGAGGTCTTGTTCAGGCTCGTAGTACCGCCTCAGCTAAGGATACGAAGACATGACATACAGCTCTCCATCTTATAGAGAACATGACAAACGGGCTATTATACCCAACCCAGCATGCACCTTACAAACACACATACCTGCGAGAGGAGGGTCTGCATGATGGAGCTTGCAAGTTGAGAGTTGCGACGGAGGACATCGTAGAAACCCTGAAATAGTTGAGGACTTGTATATATATTCTCAGTATAAAATATCTTTCCACACACTAAATGTTCTCTGCTGAATCATACTTCAAATGTTGAAGGATTTTGTCTGCGTTTGAAAGATATGTATGATATGTAAGCAGGATGCTAAAGGTGGAGTAAAAGAAGTTAAGCTTATCAAGGCTATTAGAAATAGTATTTGTAGCAGCATGTCGCAAAATTAAACAACTCATAAACACGGCAAAAGAGACGTCTAACCTCATAGAGCATGAGGCGCACGTCAGCCTGCTGGCCGAGGCAGCGACGCAGGCTGCTGAGGATCTCCAGACAGAACGCTTCATTGGCAGCGGAGTTGTAGCGAGCGTGAACGTCCACTTGGATCTATTCAGGGGTTCAGGCATACAGTTATTGTACAACAGACCATGTTTAAAATGGCACATATTGTCACGGCTGCATATGTGTTTTTCCAGCCGCCTCGTTGCACACGCCCCAGTACAGGCTAACTGGAGCTGTACCTGGCTCGAGGAGATCGCCTGGCTACACTGGCTTGAGGCCAAGCTGCCCAACACTTTGAAGTTCTTCAGCAGCAACAAGAAGCCAGCCACTGCAGACTTCCTGCCATCCAGTTGGCTTGTAGAGAGTCATATGGAGGGAAGAACAGTGTAAGAAAACACCTTTATTTGTGTGTTACAGTTGAGGTTTCAAATGTGTTTACCAAAGCATGATTCGTTAAACTGTACTGATGAAGCTAATCTGACTCAAAGCGAAGCAGTACCCACCTGGAAAACATGGCCTTGCGGAGAACTAGAATCAAAGCATCTTTCAAAGACATACTGACTTTAAGCAAGGGCTGGAGATTAAAACAGAGAACAATGATTAACCAAAATCAACCTCTACAATATATACATGTGTGTGTGTGTGTGTGTGTGTGTGTGTCAGTTAAGATACCTGGATAGCTTTCAGTAAACCCTGAACAGTGGTCAAAGGCAGGTATGACAGGTGGTCAAATGTCTCCGTCACCTTGGAAGATGACTCCAGGAGGATCATGGGAGCCGAGACCACAATGTCAGAGAAAAGATCTGATGATGCAGAAACATAGAAAAGAAAAGAGAAAAGTCAGAATCTAGTTTTAACTGGAGTGATTAGACGCTGGTGTACACCACAAAGGCAGGACTAATATCTAACGGTTGTATTACCCAAGTAATGATTGACAGGTGAGGCTGTCTTTGTGACCAGTCGATTCAAGACCTGGTCCAGTATCTCGCCTCTGATGGGCTCGTGCATCTGTTGTAGAAGAAACACACATCCTTCAGTGAGAAGACAAAATTATGATGTAGTTAATTATCAGTCATTTACATTGTTGATTAAATCAAATTAAATACCTTAAAGCCCTGCAGAAGCACCTGTCCTCCCAGCTTGCATGCCTGCTGATTGGGGGTCCGGGCTATGGTAGCAGACCCTTCTGTGGTCTTGCCAAATGGTCCAGGTTTGGGTCCAAATGCATCCATAAGGAAGAAGCCCAGCTGCACCAGCCCCTGGGTCACATGATCCCAACCAAACACACTGCACAGGCGGAAGTGTAGAAATCATGTGTAGATGATCAACTGCAAATATTGTGTTCAAGAGGTGCTAAAGCAGTGAATCCAACATCACATATTGTTATAACTTAGTCCAAGAAAATCACATCAAGACATGCAAAGTTCTTATGTTAACGGGTTAACTGCTTTGAAGCTCTGACCTGTTCTTGACTGTGTCCAGTATCATCTGAGCCACACTGCAGTGCCCAGGCAGGAGGTCCTGCAGGAACTTGGACCCCTGCTGCAGCTGCTCATCCTTGAAGCTCTTGATGATCGCCCCCTTCAAGAGGTCAAACACCTAACCAAACCAGAGACAGGACGAATGTACAGAAAAGATCAAATGAAGAAGACTGCAATAAGTGTCCGGGGGGGGGGGGGGGGAAATGTACAGATTTCTCACCTGCTCTTCATAACGCTGGATGCGCGCCACTGAGAGAAACAGGGCAACGCTGAAAGGGCAGAGATCCCCATAGGACGTCTGCAGAAATGCAATTCATAGATTTATGGCACACTCAACTTTTCAAAAAATAACTTCAATAACCAACAGATGAGTTATAGATAACCTTAAAGATTTTAAGGAACTCTCTCCCGAGTTCATGGTCGAGTCGTATGGCAAAGACTATGTGGAGGATAGCAGTGCCCTCCACATGCCTCAACTGGTCCTGTGGAATGGACTGAACCTCGAGATCCAGGCTCCTGAGGAAGAAACTGGGATTAACAGCAATCAGTAATGGAAAGTAGGCAGTATGATTTTAGAGTGAACACAGTACGCTCCACTTGCAGTGTATGAGCCACTCACTCTCCGTGTTTCTGCTCCTCTTCCTGGCGAACATCTTGGTCCTTAAAATAACAGATGATTCCATCCAGGACCTGTTTCTTACAGCCCTAGCAGACAGAGTGCAGGGCAGGCATTTAGATAATGGAAACAAGGAGGAAAGATGATTACCTGTTGTCTTTGTCTCTCTCTCTCTCTCTCTCTCTCACACACACACACACACACCTTAGCAGATAATAGCAGCAGTTGATAAACCAGTGGTGGGATCTCCTGCAGATCCAGCTTGGTGAACATCCTCAGCACTTTCTCCACCACAAACTGCAGCTCCTCTGATGACAAGGGCACATCCCTAAAATGAGGCAGACACAAAAAACTAATGTTGTATGCCCTGTAACTAGTATTAGCAGATAAAAACATTGCTATACACTGTAAAACATCATGAAAGCAAAATAAAGTTGTATTATTCTGGTCTGATAGCCAAAGGTGTTACCTGAACATGGTTGTCAGGTGGATGACACATTGCGGGTCCCATCTGCAGGAAAATAAATACAAAACTCCTCTGACTACCAGTACTATTTGTTAAAGATCCATATGAAATGGTTTGGACTCAAATATCTCCTCTCAGTGAGGGGATTGGGCATGTCGTGATTGTCATATATGCTCAAGAACTCCTAAAAAATGTATGTGAAATGTCCATATAGTTTGAAATCTGAGATGTCCTCACCTGCTCGAGCAGAGGCTGTTGATCAGCTGTTTCTTGTATTCTTCACCACTGAGTTCGCCTAACGTTGTCATAAAATAACAAGCAACCACAAGAGACAGTAAATCCTCATGTTCCAGTTTGCACCACCAAGTAAGATGATGATGTTTTTGATATAACGTTAAATGATAAAGCTACCAGCGCTAGTAATTTGCACTCACCTTTGCCATAAGACAAGGCTTCACATGCTGAAAGGGCAGTGAGCACAGTAGGAAACAGCTCCAGGGATTTCCCACTGCCCATTTTTCCCACCTTAATGGCTTCAACAAAAAGAGACGCCAGTTTTGCAAGAGAGGGTCCAGGCAGCGTGTGAGTCTGTGTTCAACAATTAAGAGGCAAAAATGGTAATTAGACAGATGCCATACTGCACACATGAACAAAAGGAAAAGGACAATATGTAAAGACATGTTTACAGTCCAGAATTTGCTAAAACCGATGGGACAGTAACTCAGCACAGAAGAGCAATTATTATGAACAGATATACACCTCCAGCATCAGCAGTCCAATGATATCAGCTGCCACCTCAGTCTGAAGATCCCCAGACTCACACAGAGGGATGCAGTGCTCATAAACAAGAAGTCTGCGGCCTGACCCTTCAGTGGAAGTGGGTGGGGAGCCTAAAAGAAAGAGCAGACAATGCAGGTATTCTGACTAGAGATATGATGTGATCTTTAATTAATACCACCGACAGCAGTTGACACTGGGTGCGTACCTTTAAATATGCCTTTCATCATGGCACCGACCTTCTTACCCTTCAGTGCGCCGTTGTTAATCACAGCGGTGAGCTAGAAAGCAGGTGATGGAGAGGGGACATATATTTGTTTTTTTCACGGATGAGATTATAAATTGCGGTGGGCCAAGTTGACAAAATAACGCAACGTTACCTGGTCATGTGTAAGCGAGGACAGGTACTTCTGAAGTTCGTCGGTACTGTCTCCATCTGACAGGATGACGATTTTATCCATTTCAGCTCTCGTGAGTTCCTTGAAACAAACAGACACGAGCGGCGGGTTAAACGTAACGTCAGAGATACGATCGTTTAGCTACTATTGATACTGGACAATCGATTAAATAAAGTAAACTAGCGAACTAAAGTTAGTCCACGAAGAGTCAAAGTCAAGCGGTAGTTTGGTAACGCTTGCGTAATATAAACGACGCTATTATATTACGAATTTCCCGCCAGCGCACACTTCCTGTTTTGCTTTGTGGTTGCCAGATTTGGCTCAAAGTATCCTGCAACGCAACATAATATTTAACTATAGCGTAAAATACATACACTAACACGAGATGTGTTTTTACTATAACGTGAAATTATTTAGACACATAAAGGTCCATCTAAAAATTGATGTTGCAATTTTGCCAAGAAATATAATATTTTGTAGAAAAACTTTATTTGTGCAGACCTGTCAACCCCGTTTACAAGGCAGGCCTACAAGAGTCAGAGTTGACGCTTACGCACTCTTGAAAATCAATCTTGTGCATTTTAATGTTTGTCTTGGCTGTGTTTGACTGTAAAACGGACTGTTATAATATAAGCACGTGTTGTTTAATACTTTGACGGTTCATCAATAATCTAATTTACGGGTTTTACGAAGGGAAAGTCGCCAGTTTCAGTCCACTCGTATGCTGTGATATTCGTACTGTGTTACAAATGTATAGCAACATTGAGCTATGAAATGCAAAATTATTCACAATATTGAATTCAAATGTATTTCCGTATGATGCAAATTCAAAACAATGCACTACAGGAATGAACTACTGAACTTTTGTTTTGTTTGTCTTTACTTGTGCCACAACTGCATTTCGTTGTGCCTCCCTGTGTTGCATAATAGCAATAAATTATCCTTGAACCTTAAATAACACTAGCTTTTTTGTTTTGTTGTTTCCTAGCCACATGTCGCTGCTGTCAAATGATGATGGGCATGTAGTTCACATGGTCTTTTTAATTTCCCGATTTTATCTATTATTTATTTATACCCTATTGTCCATGGTTACACCTCTGTATTTTATGACCTCTGTCAGATGAGCACAACTTACATATTTACTATTAATTCAATTCACAACGTGGTATACTGTAACAATACTATTAGGATGTCATGCATTTGAATATAACACACATACATAAATCACAGCCTTTATATATTCTATTATGTGAAGCACGACAAATGATTTTTACGAAAAGTACTATAAAAATAAAGTGACATATCGTATGCATGACTGATTGATATATATATATATATATCAATCAATATATCAGTCCGGGTCTACATCGCATTTCCAGCGGGCTAGTGGCGCAATGGATAACGCGTCTGACTACGGATCAGAAGATTCTAGGTTCGACTCCTGGCTAGCTCGTTCCTTTTCTTGTCATTGTCAGTCGAGCAAAAACATCATGTGTTTAGAAACATACATTCTATTAATATTTCATAACTAGATGGTCAGATGCCACTGCTCACCGAAAGATGGCGCTATATTTTTGGTAGCCCATTGCTTCATTAATTACACCAGGTGAGAGCAAATCGCGGTCCCGCCTCTCGGCCAATCAGCGCTCGTATCGCTACCACGCTTTGTCCCAGCCACTACCAGCCATTGACCAATCAACGTCTCCGAGTTCCCGGAGTCAATTTGCTCAGCTTTGTATAAAATAAAATATGATACTTTATAGATGAATTGTTATAGATTCAACTACCTTGATTGATTGATTGATTGAATGCATTCTGTCATTGGTCTGCTGGACTGTCAGTCAGTTACTGGCTAGATTAGTTTTTGCACAATCTGTATACATATATATTTATCTTCATTTGTTTATTTATATTTTCCTCAGTACTTGTTATTCTTGCACAGTTTTTACCTTTTAATCACCTTTTACTGGGCCTTATGCACAATCTGCATTTATATTTGTTCATATTTATCTTCAGTTTATATTTATATTTTCAATTTATATTCGACGGTGTGTTATTTTATCAATGTAATGTAATGTAATGACGTTAGGCTCGTTCGAGTTGAACTGCGCCTCGCCTGGAAAGCAGACGAGAGCAGGCGGACGTAGAAAGGGGCGTTGACAAAGAACTGCGTTCAAGTCGGACCGTTTTCAGCCGCCTGCTTCTTCTTCTTTCTTTTGCTTTTTTTGGCGGTAGAAAAAATAAAATAATAAAATAGAAAAAATTAATAATAATACATTTCTTTCTCAAATTCTATTCATTAGTGTTGTTGACTCTAAATATTCCAGAAAAAGTTTCCAACATTTGTCACTAAAGCTTTCCTCTCCAATCTCTCTTAGACCTTTTTTCAAAACTTCTCTGGCTGACTCGTACCTCTGACAGGACAATAAAACATGGTCCACGGTTTCTTCTTCTCCACAAAATGTACACTTTCCATTATTATGCTTTCTAATAACATCAAGGGAACTGTTCAGACCAGTATGGCCATTCCTTAGCCTTGTCATAATCATCTCCTCTTTTCTAGTTTGTCCACTAGATCCTGCACTCCCAACCAATGGTTTATTTTTAAACAGATATCTTCCTTTACTCCCTTTATTACATTCGTTCTGACATATCTTTTTAATTTGTCCCCATTTGTCTGACTTACTTATATTTACATTAACGTTATTTCTCCCACTCTTCAAAGCCCTTTTTGCTGCTTTATCCGCCTTCTCATTGCCATCGACTCCAACATGGACCCACACTAAATGAACCGCTATCCGCATTTGATGGATTCTTAAAAATGATTGTAGAATTTCAAACAGTAAATCCTCTCTGCTTCTGGAGTGGCAACATGTCAAACTCGTTAGCACTGCACATGAGTCTGATGCAATCACCACTCTCTCTGGCCTGACGTCCTCTACCCACTTTAAGGCAATAACTATATGGCCATCATCTCACATGTAAACACAGATACATCATCACTGAGTCTCTTCCCACACTCATAATGGAATTCTGGGATCACTGCTGCTGCTGCTATTCTACCAGTTTTAGGGTATTTAGATCCATAAATCTATATTTAATTGTGGTAACTGATGTATGACTTGAAGATCTTACAGTTTCCCCAACGTTCATCTCTCATCAGTTCAAGGAGGTCAAGATCAATTTCAGGCTGTGGCAGTAACCAAAGAGGAACAGCTGGACCACAGCTGGAGAATAACTCCTATAACCTAATTCACTAGCCTTCTTCTGAACAACCCAACCAGAGCTCTTTGTTAGTGTTTTTCCATGTTCCCAGCATGGCTCAATAGCACTTATTGTTGGATGGTTGTTATGTCCTTGTAAACTGACCCAATATGTCATCATGATCTGGATTCTTCTCAATTCCAACGGCATTTCCCCCATTTCTACCTGCAATGCCGGCACAGATGTTGTTTTAAAGACCCCACTACATAATCTTGACGCTTGTATTACATCCAGTTTCCCCAACAAGGTTTTAGACGCCGACCTATATTCCACACAGCCATAGTCTAGAGCTGATCTTGGGCGACTGTGGCTAAGTGGAGTGCAGGGCCGTCCTTCAATCAGAGGAGCGGCGGTTCGACAACCCCAAAATTGCTGGTCTTTAAGTTTGGATGTCTTTTCATATATTTAACTATGTTATTATTATAATTGAGGATATAAGATTGGGCATATTTTAGTTTTTGGATGTCATATTTATTTAAACATTTATATAAATAAATATATGTAAAGATAGCATCATTTCTAAATCATACAACCGTAAATTTAAGAAATTTAAAAACTGAACCAACAGTCCAAACATCACAGCTACATAAACAGGCTACACACGGAGGAAAAGCAACGCTGCAAGTTTCCATCAGTGACAATTGTGCTTTTCTTTAAATACGTTTTGTGATGCTTCACAATCATTAATCGATGCATATTCCAGTGCTGTGACTGAAAAAATGTTGACATCAAGTAGGATGTAGGCTTTCTCAATAAATATCTTTATTTACAGATGCTAAATAAATAACCTTATATATTATTGTTATTGCACAAAATGAGACTAATAGCCAACAAGCTAGCGTTAAGTATTACAATTAGACAGAAAATTAGGATTTCAATTTTTTTATACTATATTTATCCTGTTAATTAAGGATAAATTTGTCTCTGCATTTGACCCATCCCTATATATGGGGAGCAGTGGGCTGTCTTTGACATGCGACATGTCAAAGGCCATGGTTCGAACAAACAACCTTGTGGTCACCAGACCACCCTCTTAACCCAGTGAGCCACGGTTGCCCACCTTTTCCAATAAAGAAAATCTAAGAGCCAATCAGCTCTTTGATCCGAAGACAGCAAGAAGTTTCCCATCATGCCCTGGGGTCACGCAGTCAGTGGAGAGCAACTGCAGCGCCTGGCTCTAAAATCTGCGGCCACCCCGCTCTCGTGAGGTTATCGTTGCCCACGTGATCATGACGTCAGCGCAAGTCCCATCATGCCCTGGGGTCATGCAGTCGGTGGAGAGCAATTCTGCATAGCCTGGCTCTAAAATCTGCGGCCGCCTCGCTCACGTGAGATCATCGTTACGCACGTTTTCATGACGTCAGAGCAAGTCGGACGCAAATCTACCCAGCATGCATTGTGCGCCGATCGCCGGTGATCGATTCTGCGCACGCCTGGCTTAAGTCGAACGAGCCTAATGGTATTGGGGGCGTAGTCGCTATGCGCTTTACGTGCGCTCACGTGACGTCGCCAGAGATGCTTCTGCACATGCTCACAACGACGGGAGCAATCAGCCAGACTGCAGCTGATCAATGTGTTGTAGTGATGTAATGTTGCCTATTTGGTGACTACAGATGGCGGTCTGTGCCAGGCTCTGCGGGGTGGGTCAGTCGCGGAGGTGCCGGAGGCGACAGCGGCAAAACCAGCAGGATCAGGGGAGCGATTCGGACATGGACGAGGAGGAAGAGGAGCAGATCGTGGGTCAGCGGCAAGGCGACGTCGTCGCCGGCGGAGGAGGAGGAGGCCCGGACAGCGGCGGCGCCACTGCAGGGCCGAGTGTCGCTTGTGAACATGGCAGCTGTCATATCAACAGAGGCTCTCTGGATCGCACGAGCACGGGACCTCCACACCCGCAGTCGTTAGCGGAATTACCCCCGGAGCTTTTAGTTGAAATATTCTCTTTGCTTCCCGGAACAGCGCTGCCAAACGTTGCCCTCGTAGGCAAGAAATTCAGACAGATCCTCAACACTGAGACCATCTGGAGAAGGCGCTGCATGACAGGTAAATATAGCGATTTGCTGCACATATATGTAGCCTAGTGGGAAAACTGATGTTGCCACTAAAGCCACTAGAGGGCGCTGTACTCCAGAGAAAGCTGGGACGTAAAGCGCGAAACCGCAAGTGAAGTCTTTCTTTTCGAGCGACTAACCTGTGGAGCATTAGTTGTTTTCCGTGTAAGTAAATATGTTCTAAATGTTATTTCTGTACAAAATGATCAAAAGATGTACGTTAATATGTGTGTATAGAAGTCAGGAAATGTATTGTTTTGACGCTAAATGCGCCGAGGGAGATTAAATTGGTCTGATCGTTAGTGTTATTAGCATGTGCTGAGCATTCAGGAGAGAGCTAGAAGGCTAATAACGTTTGCTAATAACAGTTATAGACCATCCTACATGCATTCTGTTATCTTTCATGTTTAAGAACATAATGTGTGTACTGTATTGAAGATGTTTATTCCCGTTTGTGTAGTGCTGTATGGGATTGGTGTGCGTGGCGCCAAATGTGCATTTAAGCTAGCAGAAAGATAAGAAGTTGTGAGTATATTGAGACCTATATAGATGTATATTCTCTTCCCCTAAAATCCTTTCTATTGATCTGTACATGGACCATGAAAGACATTAGCGTTAACCCAGTCACTGCTGTAAAACAAACCAAGGCCTCTTATGTTATTAGGCCTGTGTCGCTGATAAGGCTGCTGATGCGGGTCGGACCTGACCTTTTGGGGGCCTTGAACACCACCAGCACCCCTTTTTATCGTGTCAGGGCACTGCACTGTCTCATAACCTGTACATAATGACACAATCACTATGTAACAATATATACTGCTGATTTATTATCAATGCATGTTGTAAGTATGATAAAAATCCTCTGATATGTCATGTTATATAATGATATACATCCAATACTGACACAAAGCAGTTCTGCTCAGTGTTTTGCAACATTGTCCATAATGGCTAATGACACCCAGAGATGTTACAGGAGATGTACCTCAAAATAAATGATAATGCAAATTTACAGCGACATATCGCCCAGCCAAACTTAAAATCATGTAAACAGGAAAATACTACCTTTTTTTGCTCGCTCCAGCTTCTGCAGTGTGAGCATTTACTGCTTTTATCAATTTCTTAACATTAATTTCATTTTTTATTTAGCAACCTAAAACATCTATTTCAGCCTTGTGTAATGTGCATTGTTCATTTGATTTCATGTACTTTTATAGATTTAATGATTAATCTGTTAATTGGAAGAGTACCTGTATAAGTGGATGAATTGATAATAAATAATAAACGTTGGTTGCGACATGAGTTTGGAGTTTGGAAACATGAGACGTTGGATTGGAGGAAATTTGGGGGCCACTGTTTTGTTCTGTAACAGACTCGGGGAGTGAGGGAACTGCAGTGTGTGAGGTAATCGTAATGGCCGTAGGAATGTTTGTGCTTCTGAAAAGTTACACAATAACCAGGATACCAGGTGTTTATAGTAAGCGAGGAAAATACTTTAATGTGTGTGCAGAACAACAATCAAGTACGTTTAAAATAAAGACAACGGTTACACTGAAGACAGCAAGCTGAACAAGACTGTTAGTCAGAGACGTTACAAGTAGTCGCAATCAACTGACTATGACTTTACAGTTGCAGTCAAAAACAGTTGGATGTATGATCAAAAGTGTTATAAGACCACCCAGTTGTCAGCCAACTTGGTGAAAAACATCGGTTTAGTGCATTTTACTGACGATGAAAAGCAACAAAAACAACAACAATAAGCCCTCAAAGAGACTTAACGTGGTGGCTTCTTAGTTCACTTATGTCTCAGGCCGGCTGTGTGCTTCAGACGTCTTGTGAGTCTGATCAGGTCACGTCTGCGTCTGCTGACTGTATCTCAAGCTCGGACTGTCCGTCTTGCCGCTCTCAGTTCAGTGTGACGACATTAGACAGAGTTCAGTTCACAAGTCGGTGTAGATCGGCCACAACGTGTAAACACATTTTGTAATATTGTTTTGCGTGACTAGCCTTAATAAAGTAAATGTAAGGTTGAACTTAATACTCTCGTGTGTCTTCTCTCTGCAGAGTTTGGTACGAAGGAGGATCTGAGGAAGATGGAAGTGGAAGGAGTATCTAGCCGGGACCTCTATGTTAAACGTGAGTTCGACTGCTGATTGAACAGCTCTCCCGTCACCCATGAATTGATCCAATGAAGTATTTGGCACACTGCTCCTCCACTGGGTCATTCGGCATTTGCACCCTCATATTTTCTTGCGTACAGCTGTTGATGGATCACCCCAATGACTGTGATTTGCAGCCGATAGGAAACAGTCCCAGCAACTGCTTTTCTGATATGACAGAATGTCTTTTCTCTGTTCCACTTGAGATTATTTATGGTACCAGTTGCCACAAGACATGCCAGGCAAAGTGTGGGCGCGTTGTTGGTCCCTTTTTGAATAGATTATTTTAGCACATCACTGCCTTCACTAGAGGGGCTGCTCTGGGCTGCTCTACACATGCCTGTGTTGTGCCTGTCCAGGTGTCAACCCGCGGGTGAAGTCTGGCCGCTTTATGAAGCTCCTCCCGGACTACGAGCACATGGACTATAGAGACGTGTACACGCGCTGTATGTACACGGGCCTCGACGTGGATGGCTGCTGCATGAGGGGTTGTGTGAGTGGGACTCTTGTTGATTTAATTTGTAAGCAAACGGCTGCAGCATCCCTTATGAATGGTAAACATGTTCACAATTCTCCTCCAGCGCTGTTTGCTTTCATATTAAGTGTGAAATGGGATGCCAGGTTATTTGGTGTGCTGTGTATTTTGATTGGACTGTTGGACGGGTCGGTGTTTCCTCCCTTTGGGTTTACGTCTCATAGACTCCCATCATGACGGACGTTAAACAGGAAGTTGTGTCCGTGGGCTTTAACACCTCCTCTTGTGTTTGTAACCAATGCACGATGTGGCTCGTAGCAAAGCACCTACAGAAACTGATAAGTGTGGTGTGATATTGTGCTCCTGTGTTGCAGTGCTTCACCCGTACAGATATATCCTGGGTTTATGGCAGCCTGACATAGGGCCTTATGGGGGATTGCTCAACGTTGTGGTAAGACGTGTTTCTCAATCGGCACATTTGCATAAAGATAAGAAAAGATGACCGCAGTGTACAGTTTGTTCACCGTCTTCTGCGTGTCATTTACGATGCGGCAATATTCCGCTGATAATGCTTTGGCATTTGCAACATCATTTCACGGGCTTATGAATTACTAAAAGTGTTTTTCGTTCAGGTGGACGGGCTATTCATCATCGGCTGGATGTATTTGCCGCCTCATGACCCCCGTGTGGAGGACCCCATGAGAAGACGGCCGCTCTTCCGCATCCACATGTTGGAGAGCCAAAAGGCCACGGTGGAGTGTATGTATGGTCACAAGGGGCCACACAACGGGGACATACAGGTGAGAGCTTCTCTGTGAAACCAAAGAAATGAACGGCTCCACGTCATTTGGATGTTTGGTGACACAGTTTAGAAGAAGATTCTACTTTAGTTTGAGGTTAGAAATCAATAGACAATACGTTATCCTTTAATATGTGTCATAATTCTGTTATTTTAAGACCGGGAAGAAGGATGAATTTTCAACAAAGTGTAACCAGACCGATCATCACCGCATGCCGGGGGGCAGACAGGAGGTGAGGCAGCTGTCACTACCTGAAACCTGCTCTATTCACTTATCTTGCTTATGTTTTAAAAGCCTGTGTGCTTTGATAATGTCGAAAGACTTTTAGCAGCATTCTACCGATTTCTCTAATTTGTGTGTGTGTGTGTGTGTGTGTGTGTGTGTGTGTGTGTGTGTGTGTAGGAGTTCAGGACATGGTTGGAAGAAGAATGGGGCCGGACACTGGAAGAAATCTTCCATGAGCACATGCAGGAGCTCATCCTGATGAAGTTCATTTATACCAGTCAATATGAGTATGAGTCTCTTCCTTACATCACACTTCTTCTAAAGCTGACATCGAGAGTGTCGCCCTCAGCAGCTCTTATTGTTTATCATGGCAGATCTTCAGTGAAATGAAAACACTAAACAGCGGCAAAAGTCACATTTTGACTCTTGTTGTTTGCCTCCTTTTGACAGTAACTGCTTGACATACCGGAGGATCTACCTGCCGCCTGTGATGCCCGCCGACCTTCTGGACCCGGGCCTCTTCAAAGGCACCTACGGCAGCCACGGCTTGGAGATCGTCGTGCTCAGTTTCCACGGGACGTCTGCGAGAGCCACTAAGCTCACTGTGAGTTAGTGAATAATCATTATCCGAGGCTGCAAAGTTTTCTAAACAACTAATTAATCGTGCATGTTGATGTTATACGGAAAGACTGTAATTTCACTCTTTCTTGCAGGGAGATCCCAATGTTCCTGCGGGGCAACTCACTTTAGATGTTGACCTGAGCCGGCCTGTGGTCCTCCCAGACTTAGAGCACCAGCGCAACATAGAGGAGCTGTCGCGGCTGGTGCTGGGGGTGCACGCGGAGGTCCAGAGAGAGGAACAGCAACAGGCCAAGGACACTCCTGCCACAGTGAGCGGTGCAGCAGAGGGGGCCTATGGTGATGCTGGCGCGGCAGAAGATGTGGAAGAGGAGGAGGAGGAGGAGGAGCGTGTTACGTGTTCAAACAGCTGCCAGTCGGGCCGCAGCAACAGCAGCACCGGCCCTCCTGAAGCCCAGCCCTTTGTCCTGCCCCTGGGAGTCATGGCCCGCAATGAGGTCTACCCTCGCACCTGTAGGAAATGGTAAGAACTCAGCTGTACGGAAGATGCATACAGTATCAATTCCCAGAGTACAGGTGGATTGGTTGTAGCTACCTTTGCTCCAGTAACAGTGGTGTTCGACACAATGTGCCTATTGTTCCTGAGCTGGTATAAGCTTGCATGCTGTTAAGAGCTCATGGCCAACAGGCTGAAATCATATCGGCCTCTAATCAATGCTTATCAGTATTCGTGCTTTATAGATAAGGATATTTAATTAACAATGTAAAAATGATTATTTTGCAATATGCGAGAGAAATGTAACGGCATACTTTTTTTTTTTTTTTTTTGGGTTGCATGCTGTGGTGGCACCCTTAAAGAAGTTTGAAGATGAATGTGGATGATTGTGATAAAGCACTGTTTCTGTCACAGATTCACAGTCAATTAATCTGCATTAATCCACAAGGAGGTCTGTGCTGAAGGCTTTATGTCTCAGTGCTAACGTGGTTCATCAAGATAAGTAATAAGGGAATAAACAGAAAAGATAAAGCAACTAACTCTCTGGAGAAATTCCACCTAAACTGAAAGAGCAGTTTGTATATCGCTTAATCATTGAATTTAACAAAGACTCTAGCCGTAGCTGATATTAGCATGGGGGGCAATGAGGGTTTTACGTAACACAACACAAACTATCTCCTTCACATCATCATTACCACACAACAGTCAATTGACCAGTCCACCTACTTCGTAATCTACGCACACAGCAGGTGAGGTGAAAGTCCTTTTACAGTGATGACTAAGGAGAGAGTGCGCTGCACGGCGCAGGGATTCACAAAGCCTGCCTGGGCTGGAGTTGCCGGGATGATTAATTGGCTTGTTAAATAGCTCCTTTTGTACTCTGGCCTATTAAACAGCTTTATGGAAAGTAATATTCAGTAATTGTTAAATGAAATTGCTGCTGTCACAAGCATGACCTGTTATTTCTGTACGCACTTCAACCCATCTGAAAGTGATATCCATCAAAGTGTTGATTGATTTGTGAATTGACGTGCCTCCGTTTTCAGCTTCTACGGTACGGGCCTGATCGCCGGGCACGGCTTCACGAGTCCGGAGCGCACCCCGGGGCTCTTCGTGCTGTTTGACGAGGACCGCTTTGGCTTCATCTGGCTGGAGTTGAAGTCTTTCAGTTTGTACAGTCGGCTGACGGACCACCTAGCTCACGCTCACGCCCCAAATATGGAGCACTTTGAGGCCATGCTGTGCAACATGCAGTCCTGGACATCCTGATGCACCACAATTTTAAGTGTCTCCCCCCCCACCCACACACACACAGTACAATACATAAAAACAACCACTTCACACAATTCATCTCCTGCTGTCCTTTGAGTCGTGAGCTATGACATACCACGGTCGCTCATTGTCCTGGTTTTATCGGTACGTTTCACAAACATTGGGTTTTACTATCTAATTAACTTATCTGATCCAGCGCCCCTACACTCCTGTTCCCATGCAAGCACTATAAAGGGCCTCCCAAGTCACCGTTTATCACCTAAGTATGACCGTCATCCTCTAGTGCAGCATGAAAACAGGTCACATTAAGCTTTTTATTTATTTATTTAAAGGAATGATATTTCATACTGCTTGTTATGGATCAAACTGTACGTGCGTCTGATTCTAAAACCATGTCTGTACTTGAAGACCATAACGGTGTCCAATGTATTCTCCTATAAAGCATTATTCTGAGTTCGGTGCCCAACATGTTGAATTGCATGCTGTTTTGTTTAGATCTAACCACATCTCATAACCATTATCTGAACATGTTTTATTCTCATTAAGCAGCATGCTTTGCTTTTTTGACAGCTTCTCAGGTGTTTTTCTCTTTACCACTAATCAGTGAAACCCAGAACTTAAGTATTCCTGTGTGCAACCAAAATGTAGGAAGTTAAATTCATTTTAGTCATTTATCTAGTAAAATAGTGAGTTTCACAACTGGGCAATTTTGTCACCATTGACGAGAGAGGGTATGCCGTCTTATCAAAACACTAGATGAATCAGTTTTGGCCCTTTGAACTGAAGATAGTGATGTGCCCTCATGGGCTCACGGCCTGACATCAAACGCAGCTTTAATGTCGCATTATGTAAGTTGGAAAGATGTATTATACTGCAATAGAACATGCCCTTTACATAAGCTTATCAAAATATCAATGTTATACGGTTTATGTACTTATATGATCTGAAACAAACCTTTGAAATGTATTGCATTTGTTTAAATGGCTGATGTAACATTTGCCTGGCTTTCTACCTGCAAAGCTAATCCCTCCAGCTTTCCAAATTCATTTTGAACTTGAGACCAGGCTGGCTGAACATCAAGCTAACAGCTCAGAGTACAGAGTGTCTCCTTAGGGCCTGATGGGGTTGCTCAGTAGCTTTCTTACTCCAAGTGCACTTTTCTGGGCAGTATAGTGAATAATTTAAAACCACTGGCCAGCACTTTTATAATCAGACTGCAGCTTTACTAACATTTGCACACAAAAAAAAAAGGCTGCCAAAGCACTATCAAATTACTTTTTAAATTTCGTCTTAATAGTATAATTGTTTTATACATGCCCTCTGTACCCAGCTATTTGAATTTGCCTTCGGAAAAGGAAATGTTGCTTTCTACCATCGTCAATGAGAGGCGCCTGAATTTGTGGGCAATGAATTAAGTTTGACCCATTGAACTGCTCACATCAGACTTCAGGGAGCT